AGAAAGAATGTCGTTTTGTGGCACAGAGCTAAGCGATGGGATACTTGTCAATAGTCATGTGCCCTGACCTCATGTACCTGATGACAAAAAGGAACAGGAACGGAGGCAGGCAGGGCATCTGGGAAGAGTGGCAGACTGCACCAGCAAGACATGGCAAGGCTGTCCTTATCACCCCCGCCTCCCACGGCAACCCCAGGAACTCCTTAACTTACTTCCCGGCCGTCTGCCTTTATGACCCACACGTCAAGCCCACCCTTCCAAAAACCCCTGCTCCCCTAGTGTCGATTAGGACATCAGTACTTCAGACATTTCCAAACCTAGACACTGCGAGAGATGAAGTAAGTACCAGCTCAGCGAGAAACCATGTATCAGGGAATACAGCTTATTTCCAATTGAGCTTGTCTAGAGATTCGGACCCTGGGTTACTCTTTCATAGAAGAAGAAACAGCACAGACAGATTCCTCTCATGATGGAGCCACAGCTTTAAATCCCCAAGCACAGGGCCGCAGGCTCTGATGACACAGCACACGGTGTGATTCTGTGAGCCCAGGAGTGCTGACCCTACATTGCCCAACAAGCGCATCTGACTGGTGCCGCTTGAACTACGGACTGGGCACCTGCTCGTCTGTCCTAGCCTCTGAGAAGGGCAGCCATGTTTCACTCTTGCAGACACAAGCCTCAGCTTTGCCTTAGGCCTGACACGGACTGCGCTGCTCTTAACCAGCCTGAAACCCACCACTGGCTGAAAGTCACAGAAGCTCCTCACTGGCCTAGTTCACGGTTTGTGAGGTATTTTGTAAGCGTTGCAGCGTGCCGATTTCTTAGCGGCCTATTTCTGCTCTCCCCCAGGGAAGCCGGAGCTTGGAGGAGAGATTTCCACACGCAGGTCGCTAGAGAGAGTACCAGATTAAGGTCAGTGCATGGCACATATTCATCATAATAGCATTACAATAATCAGCAGACCCTGTCCCAGGTTAAGAACCTCCGAAAAGGAGCTGACATTGTCTTTAAGGAAGAAGCTGCAAGGGTGGATGGTTTGCAAAGAGACTACTTGCTTTTTCCACAGTTCTACAGGAAATGTATTATGGAGCTCTGCGGTGTTCCAGGTCTGGGTGACCTGGACGGTGCCCTCAAATACACTACTCGTCTTCTTCTGTCTTCTTAATTGACAGATCTCTGAATTAAGACAGGTTTGGGCTCATTTAATAGGGTCATCTATGCATTGTGCTCTCTCAGACTGCTCCAGTACTGCACCAACACTAATAGGGTATATAGGATGATCACTTAGAAATGAAGCCTAGAAGTAAGAAGGGTTGAGAAGTAAAAAAGAAATGTTTTGGTTTTCTTTTTTTCTGTGTTTTTGGTAGGTTTCCCATGTCCTTTCAATTAACGGCATGATTCTTCTTAATTGAAAAACATATGGTATATTGCTGCATTTTCAAATTAATTATTACAGTATGACTGATACTAAATGGCTTTACTCACTTTTGTCTTTTTCCCTGAATAGGTTTTGTAGTTTAAACTGGTGGGTGAGTGTCTTTGTTTGTGACTGTCTGATGTAGGAGCTTCCCAATGGTCCTCAGTCCTCCAGTTTGGAGACCGCAGCTCCAGTCCACTCGGTACAAGTCCAGAGTCCCTACAGCAGTGAACAGGCCAGGGTGCCCAGGGAGATGGGCTCGTTTGGGATGGACCATTTCTGTTTCACTGCCAAACAGTGACCCCCAGTGGCTGGCCAAAGTATCTACATTACACACCATAGCGTGAATCTACTTAGTCAAACTTTCATACTTTTGTGACAGCTACTGTCATACAAAACTATGTTCCGGCCTATGGGTCTGGAGTCAAAGACAGATTGTTTGAGGAAAGTACTGATACAAAGCGGAGTCGTTCAAGTTAGGACAAAACCATGATTGTGTGAAGGAGTTCACACCCCTGGCTAAACAGGGATCATCAAAGGCAAGAGGTCCTGTCAAACGCATGAAAAAGGCCCTAATTGTGAGCAGAGCTGGGACTGGGCTGACTGTGTGCTTGAGTGGAACAGTGTGTATAAATGACAACAAAGAGCTGAGTCACACACAGACCCCCCCTGTATCAGAGACACATGACTAACTGGACTGTCCTCCCAGGGGAAAAACAGTACACATCTGTTCCTCGCCTTCTCTGCGGTATCAACTGTTGGAACCGTACATAAAAATGTTATAAAATCTGCGACTTCAACCGTCAAATCTCCAGTATTGATTAAAGCTACTGAAGGCACACTGTTACAGTTTGCTGACAGCAGCCAGCTAGTTTCTGACCCACGGACACTGGTGAGAGGAGCAGTCTGGTGTGGAACCGGTTTCCAGGCTGGAGTGGGAAAGCCAGGTAAGGACCTTGAAAGATTGCACCTCATTTTTCCGTTAGGCACAGAAACAAAGTGAAGAGCCCCGTGGAAGGCCAGCGACGTGCAATATTCACACTCCACCCACTGAAACAAAAATCACAAGGTCCTTATGAAAATGCCCGAACAGTGACCTATAAGCTTCTGTAGCAATTTCCTGATTCCTGGTCGATGTCTACAGCGAACCGGAGAATTGTGACATTTCTGTAGAAAGCTCCTGGTAATGTTCCTTGAACATTAAGAATGAGGTGGACATTTGTAGGTGTGGGTCCTGGGTCATACCTTCACACTGCGAGACATCATTGAGCAACAGCCACTCCGCTGCACTGACTCACAGCGGAGTTCTGTGGGAACAGGAGATGACAGCTGAGAGGTAGTTATTGACGTTGTCTTCCGCAGGCCTGGAGTACGTGCTGTTTTTATTTTTTTGTTACAAACCAAAGGCCCCAGCCTTAGACAACATATTTTTTTACACCCTCCTTTCTAACTCCCACAATGGCATTTTCCTTAGCACTGCTTTCGGCTTCTGAACCCCAGCCAGGCCCTCACCGTGGTCCAAATAAACCCTTTCGACCGGGGTAACAGCTCAGCGTGAGTTCATGTGTGCTTCAGTGTGTTTGCAGGTCTTTGATGTGATTTCACCCCACACAAACGAGAGCACGGCTCTTGAAAAGGAAATTACTACAGTATGTATAACACCCTGAAAAGTGAAACCTGCTGAATACAAGATTAAAGTGCAAATGAGTCAAGATGTATAAAAAAAGCATTCTAGTTATATGCCATGTCTGAGCGTATTTACTGGATCTGGGTTTTTCTTGGTTTCTCCACAAAAAACAGAAAATGTTTTTTATTTACGTTTTGATTGTCACATTTCTGTTATTCATTTGTGAACACAACCTGAGAGCATTTTAGAAGTTAAAGTACAAGCACAAAAAAAACAGAACTGCGCAAATGAGTTCTTGTCACAACTTAAGCCTGATCTGTTCACACAAGTAATTTTCCCCAAAATAAATAAAAAAAATGCTTGGAGGTTGGTACAGTATGTTTCAATGTGTAAATAAAACTTAAATAAATTCTGATAAAATGTGTCGTTTCCACGCTGATAAACCACAAAATGTGTTACTTTGGAAAGGGTATGTAGACGTTCTACATGCACTATGTTAAAATACATGAAGACTGCTTGTGACTTTACCATTTCTTTTTAAGTCTGTTTTGTGAGGTGTTGCCCTTGAGGTTGTTTAGGGTCTACAACTGGAGCCCTTCACACATTTTAGGTGGCTCACAACTGCTAGATTCTTTATTATATCAAAGAAAAGGTTGCCGCAGTGGTTAGGATTGCTGTCTGACTATGGTGGGGCCCTGGGTTCAATTCCTGAGGTGCTATCTGCACGTTTGCATGTTCTCCCAGAGTTTTTGTAGTTTTCCTCCCACTGTCCAGAGACATACTGGTAGGGTAAGTGGCTTCTGGGAAAACAGGCCCCTAGTGTGAGTGTGTGTCTGCCTATGTCTCTACCCTGCAATGGACTGGGGCCCAACCAGGCTGTACGCTGGGATCCTGCCCTGTGCTCGTTGCTTGCTGGGATAGACTCTGTCACTTCCTCAACCCTGTACTCGATAAAGTGGAAAATAGATGGATGGAAACTCTTTTCAAATCTTAGAAAAACGATTTAAGAGAGATTTTCCACGTCCTCTGGGACTAAACCACACAGACTTTTGTGTAGGTTTTGTGGTAGCAGTATGCTTTTCACTCTACTGCCAGGTTACATTACAGTAATAATCACACTGACAAGGGCATTGTGTACGCCACTGTTTTTGTGATGTCAAAAATCAGAAATGTGATTTTTGGTGAGGAGAAGGATGCTTCCCTGTTGTCTAGTCGTGTAGCTCGTGCCCTAGAAACAGCAGATACACGTACTTTAGAGTGGGGGTGTTGAGAAACAAATGGGTTGGGTAATGTATTATTTCGAAAGTGATATTTGTTTGCTGCTGACATGGCCACCAGGCACAAGGGATAGCATTACCACCTCACCCCACTGTAGCCCTGAATTGGAAGTGAGAAAGTTACAGCAGTTAGGAAAACAGACAAAGGAACCTCAAGAAAGAATGAGTACTTGTGGAACTGATTGTATTGGGATGAGCTTTTGATCTATTGTTCTGTGAAGCATGCTGAGAGAACTTCGCTGTATAATAAAATTGTACTGATTTGTAACTATATAGCTTTTATAATGATATATAATATAAAACGTTATTATTTTATGTTATATATTATTTTAATAAAATATTATTATATAAATTTTTCACTAGGTTTTTTTTACACTAAAGTAGAATTTCTGAACTAATATTCCATTGTTTTAAAAAAAAGTCTACTGTGATTTAAACACAATCCAGTATTTCCATACAGAAGCACAAAAAAGGGACAAAAGGGCCCTCTCGTGGACAAATGGAGTATTGCAACACTGGGAAGATCTAAACTAAAACCGATAAATTATAGAATACCGATAGAAAATGAAAGTTATTGGAAACGAATATTAACATTTCAGTGGTTTAAAACTATTAATTAAGTAATATATTTTTAAAAAGTAAAATGGCTCTGAAACCAAGAGGCTAAAATCTTTTGGCACTTCTCCTGTAAATCAGAAGTTTATTTCAGTTTCGGGCAGTGTAACAGTTCAAGAGCAGCCTGGTTTATTTCTCAGTATTTCAAAAGGAGTTTTCTTTCTTTTACAGCTCACGGGAACAGCAATAAGAGCCACTGTGAGCCGTTTGCCAAACTATTTTTTTTTAAAACAGAGCAAGAAAAAAAACCCAGTACTTTTTCTCTTATATAATAGCGTATATGTTTATATTATATAACACAATAAAACAGACATTTAAAAAATCATCACAATGTATCAAGTTCTTGAATCCCCTTGCTTTTAAAAGACAGCAGTTCTACCACAGTGTAGCACGTTTGAGGTAGTGCTGTGAAGAAAAGCTAAAAGTTAAAACAATCTAAAAATGTCAAGTAAATTAACGTAAATCAAACCTAATGTGGGCCCATGGCCATAAAGCATAGTTACAACCACATGTAGACTGCATTTTTGCAGACTTTTATATTTTCTAGTTTTTTAGAAAAATAATAAACCGAAAACTTAAGGAATACAATAATTTACATTATCTTTGTTGTAAGTATTTTTAATTTCATTAAAGACTATTCATTCATTCATTTTATTAGTAAAAATAACTGTATCTGTCAATACAGGTAATTACAGTCTGATTACTCTGGCATGAGGTATGGTTTTTGTGTACCTATATATATACACACATGATTCATATATACATAAATATATGGAGATAACAATAAAATACAATACAAAATTGTACATCATACTGAGCCAAACAAATGAGAAAACTGTACTGTTTTATCAGCCCCCACCTCCACAGCAAAATGGCAATACCTTCGTCTCTCACCTCAGATGCATCTAAATTGTCAGGAAAAATAAGCTCATCTGTAAAGTTCTCAGGAGTGTAACACAGTAAAAAAAACACCAGGAAAGAATAAAGAGAGTTTTTCGGAATGCTAGTGGTTGTTGAAAGCTTTCTTAAGAAGCTGCACTTCGTCCTGTTAAAGAAGACACAAGCACATGTCAAACTGTGACTTTATCAAGCGGTACAGGTGTTAAACTTTGAAAAAATAAACAGACCAGAAAACAATTTCAAACAATTGCTGCAAAACACAACACCCGCAGAAGTCAGATGAATTCACAGACTTGAAGGAATATCCTACAGGCTAGAACAGATGAACATTTACCCTCATTTGTGGGTACATGTAGGGTGGAATAATTAAGAATTTGGTTTCGAAATCGGTCTTTTACCTAACAGATGCATTAACAGCAGTAAAGGATCTCGATTGATAAAGACAAAAAACACTTAGTGCTTACCTGCAGTGCAGTGCGTTTTGCTTTCTCATCTTTCAGCTCCTGCCTTAAGTCCTCTGTGTCTTTCCTATCACACAAGATATGAGAACCTAGTTAAAAAACAGACACCCTTGACAACTTCTATAAATGTAATCAACTAGGTTGTTTCTTTTAAAAAAGCTGATGGATCATAAAAGTATAACTGTGAAGGTCATCATTTCATATTTTTAGCAATAGTGAAGATTTGTAAAGATGCGATGCAAAGTTAAAAGGGACATTTCAGGCAAAAGTCATTTCTCTATATGCACCTATAAAAAAACTGTACTGATAAAAAGTGGTAATTTCACCTGCATAGTTAATGTTATGCAGCTTACACCTTCATAAAATGTGTACTAAATGCCTTTTGCTCTACTTTACTTTCTGCAATTGTTCCCTTTTTTAGTGGCACTTTGCAGATCGCTGTGCTATAATCAGATCGGCACTCACAGGTGCAGAGCCTTCAGGATCTCCAGAGCCAAGCTCAGCTCCTTGACCTCTGCTCTCAGCTTCTCCACTGAGGCCCCGGGCTCCTCTCTGGGTTTGGATGGGACGGGCTTCTGTAGGGGAGAGATCTTGGCAAGTGGATCAGGCTTTCCTGCTGTAGGATTTTCTATTACCTAGGAAGATATTTGAAGATGCAGTCATTAAAAATAAATCATCCTAAATATGACTTAGTATTGATACTAAGATTATCTCAGTTTCATGTGCTTATCAGCTCACTGAGTGCTTGGTCTCAATTTGTTTCTTTAAGTAAGTGTTCTGTTTCGTCAAGAATATCAGAAGGAGCATATAAGCTTGCTTTCAAAAGCTCCCCATTTAGAAATACATTCTTAGAATTTTTTTTAAAAAAATGTAGGAACAATCAATTTGGCTCTTTGTACAGAAAAAAACATACTGTGAAATTTAGGACAATCAATCAATTCACTCAACAGGAACAGTGAAAGGAAATACTTCACCTTGTGAACTCCTGGTAGCTTTGACTGAAGTTGACTAACTTCGTCATTAGTTTCAGAGGTACTAGGAACCTACATTGGCAAAACAAAACAACACTTATTGCTCTGGTTAGCTCCGGTATAATGCAGTCTATTGTTCTCACCTGACTAATCCCATCGCCTATAAGTCATGCAGGTGTACTTTTTCAAGTTATACAACAATTAAGGTTGATGACCCATCAAGCATGCAACAAAGTCCCTGTTCTTTAGGGGAACTGCCTCTGTTGTACCATAATTGCCTTCAGTTGTGACGTAATGAACCACATCACATTAGCTAGCCTTCAGCAAGAAAAATCCCAAAATATATCACTGCCAATAAACTGATTTATTATTCACTTAATGTCATCTGCTACAAAGGACTGCTCAACAAGTAAATACCCTTGTGGCTGGAAAACAATAGACATGTTTTGTTGACATTATTACAGAAAATAGGATATGGGTTATTGTAAATCAGGTGAGGTGTGTACACAACAGCACGGTCTCAGTACGAAAGGCCAAAAGCAGTAGTGAAATACAAATATAATTGGGTTAAGACAAGATTTGCTAGTGAATACTTCATTTCTTCTTACACTGACCATCACTTCCTTTTTTTTCTCTACAAGCATAAGCTAAAAAAAAAAACTTACTGACCAAAGTCAAACATTTTAATCAAGTGACTAATGTAGCCTAAAACAAAAAACGCACGCAATCCTGTTTCTGACGATTTTCCCCTTGAGCATCAGCTGAACGAGGTCAGCCTCCAGCGTAGGTCAATCACTCCCCAGATCAAACATTTCAGAGCGCACACAGCGGTGACACGGCCACTGGCTTAGACTGCTGGAAAGACGGGGTGCCCTCATACCGGTTTCTGAGCTGTGGCGCCCCAATGCAGGTTGGTGGGGGGTCTCCTTCCAGGAAGCTTAGCTCTGTTGGCGGTGGGGTGAGACAGTTTGTCTGTAGTCACGTCCACTCCATCAAACTGATCTGGCTCTGTTTGAAAACAAAGCATTCAGGGCGGCGCAGAGATTAGTATCGCTGCCTCGCAGTGCTGGGCCCCTGGGCTCAGTCCAGACCAGGGCTGGAGTGTGTATCTTCTCCCTGTGCTCACGTGCCTTTTCTCCGGGTGCTCCGGTTTCCTCCCGCAATCCAAAGACGCGCTGGTAGGTTAATCGGCTTCTGGGAAAACAGGACCTGGTGTCAATGTGCGCATGTCTGTGTCTGTGCCTCTGTGTGCCCTGTGATGGACTGGCGTCCCGTCCAGGGTGTATCCTGCCTTGTGCCCTTTGCCTGCAGGGATAGACTCCGGCTCCCCCGCAATTCGGAATTGGAAGAAGCAGTTAGAAATTAGATGGATGGAGAAGAAGGGAGAAACCCTATAATGCATGACAGATTAATCAAATTCATTCTGTGTAATAATGAAGTGGCAAAATATCTTCTACTGTTTCACCATCCCGTACATTGTTTTTTTCCCCACATATATAAAAGTTAACTGTTACTCTGCAGGTGTACACAGGAAGCTGCCGTGGTGGTGTTGAGGTCGGACTCCAAGCACTAGGGTTTGGGACATTTTCGGAAGACACAAAACATCTGGACACATCTAAATGTGGATAGGTCCGAGGCCTCCGGAGCGGCCCGGAGGCTGAGGGGTCTGAGCTGGTTATCTCAATGATAGAGCGCTGGTCCAGTGGCGTTTTGAGATGAAACATGAGATGAATTAATTGAGTGATTTGGAGCCTGAAAGTTAGAGAAGGGGGAAGACCGAAAGGTGACGTAACCCGACTGCATCCTTAGAGCCTCAGGTCAACTGTGATTCCTCGTAGAGCCTCCACTGGCCAGGGGGTAACATTAACAACATGGAATTATGTGTGGAAAATTGCAGCTTGCAGGTCAGTATATTAAAATATTCTACCAAGAGCCACCTGTCATATATAGTTCATGTGCATGTGATTGCAATTGTAAGTACTTGTGCACAGATGCTCTTATCATCCTGGAAAAAGAGAAAATAGTTGCAGCTTAAGGTTCAGTCAGATCTCTACGTTTGAATGAGCATGTGAAATGCTATAATGGCTTCTCACTTTCTCGCTTGGAGGCCGTTACAAGTTAAGGCGGTAAGTGCATTGAGTAGGATGACTGAAGAAATGAAGAATTAACCAGAGTAAAAGCTCAATACTTTGCAAGTGTCAGACGTTTAGGGGTTTTGTGAAACTTCAGCTATTCAATGTTGTGAAAGGAATGATAGCTTGGAAAAACATCTGTCTTAACATAACCATAACAGGCACCAACTACACAGCCTCTTCCAGGCCATCACTAAACCTTGGTCTGTGAGTAAAAGACCCTCACCTTTTTCCTTTACTTTGTCAGTTGTGTCTTCTGCATGTTTGGGTGACAAGGGAGGCAGGTCTCCATTTTGCCTGAGATTGAATAACAATTAAAATTACTATGCTAATTATCAAAATAAGTAAGATTGATAGCAGCAAAGGTTCCAGTTAGAAAGAAGATGTCTTAACTGTGGAAAGAGGGCAAGAAGACTGATAAATTCAAGGGATAAGGCATGTTCAAATCCATTAAACAGATCTTTTTCTAAAAAAACAACAAAACTTCTTTATTTTACAATACAAAAGCAGTGGGAGGTTTATTAGTTCAATTTATTGGACTAGCCCTACAAGGATTCGATGTTGCAGTCAATGCAATAAATGTAAGTTGACTGAAGAAAGAATGTTTAGTCCCTGCTGTCTTCTGTTTGTTAGAGTTTTACACGTTGGTCTATTTGATGTTGGTTTCCAAATTTACATACTACCACAGCTGTCTCCTGTCGTCTCCTAATTACACTACAACCACTGGCTGCTTGTTCTTAATGGATCACTGCCAAAAGCTTTCCCATATGAAACAGTTCCCTGTCTCCTTTAATTACTTTAGCATTGTATAAAAAGCCTTTGTAGTTCTTGGCTAAACAAGCTAAAACAAAAGTAAAATACAACCCTAAAATTCACACTAATCACAACGTACCGTTTGTGTGAACCCCTGATCGGAAATTCACACTATTTGAAATACTGCAAATTTCAGATTGCATAGCAATGTCAGTATCTCAAGTGGACTTCCTTGATGGTGAAGCACAGAAGGGTTCTATGCTACGCAAATACTGTGGCACTGTAAATTGATGGTGGAATTAAAAAAAATACACTTCACCCATTACATCCTGTTTTTGCTGAGCTCACTGTCTGTTAGCCATCTGTGACTGTACGGTCTGTATTTTATGAAGCAGGTGCAAAAACAAAATGCCCTTGCAATGGTAAGATTGACAATCTTGTGTAGCTGCTGAGATCAAGCTATACAATGACTGCACTTCAGTAAAGTAAAAAGATGGTTCTGTAATATATTAAAATTCTGTAATATATTAAAAAATCTCTGAAACAAATGTGCCTACTCAAGTATTACATGACCAAGTAATCCAAAATTAAAGATATAACATTTAGGGAGCTGGTTTATGATACAAAATAATGGTTTAAATTGTTTGAATGTGATATAAAACAATTTAAATGGTTAACATTGCACAGAATGTGCCCTACAATTAAATCTTGGCATTTTCAACATGACCTGCTAGATTCTGGAGTTCCTGTGCTTGTGTACACAGGTACAGCTTTTTCATTGCCAAGGCACCAGTGCAAATCAAGCAAAGGATGATAAAATGATCTTCTCTCCAATCCATCTGTCATTCTCCAGAAAGAGTCTGTTTGCATTGTGCTGTTACAGTAACTCATTCTGAGGCTTACAGGTCAAACCTATTCACTCACCGTATGGGAAGGTTTTTGGGGGGCTTGGTTTTTATTGGGGGAGGAACTTTTTTGATGACTGGGAGCTGCACCTTGGAAGGCGGGTCACTTCTGAGGTCTTTTGTCTCGTGTTTCTCCTCTGCGGGGAAAGAGAGTGTGGCCACAGGCATTCTTTAATACACACAATCGCAACTTTCAGGACAGAAGAAGGTTTGCTGCTCTCAATTCTCATGCAGTATGTGCAGTCCCAGACTGAGCTGAAACCATCTGGGAATTCAAATGCATGCTTTGTGCGAGCTGTGCTAAACAAAACCCAAATTACTGCTTCGTTCTCAAGGTCATACGTGACCTTCAGCATTGTCTGAACCAGCTTCTGACAAAAAATAGAATGAAAGAATTATAGCCTAGCAGAAGTACGTTATAAGCTTTTCTTCCTTAAAAAAAGACGTACTCCAAATATCCTTCTACAGTTTTTACAAGACTCTGCCTTTGCCAATGGCAGAAGGTTAGTCTGTGCAGAGCTATTGCAGATCTCGTGTCCACTGTTGGGTGTACATGTGCCATTTTGCCTTTGACTGCAAACAGCTCCTGTACCCATGTGACCTGAGGGACCCGTCTTGGTGCTGCCTGCAGACTGCAGATACACTGTGCACTTCCACAGCCAGGCAACATGAACTTCCCCAAGCCCCTTACAGCAACATAGGATTTAGCTCCTCTGTTGAATACTTTTTTTCTTAGATCATTAAATATGAGTATAGCTATTTTATTATACATTGAGTTGGTAAAAAAATTCTATGGTCTGCCTGTGTTAGCTCACCCAGTTTGGTTTCAAGGGCATTAGACTTGTGTAGATAAACACGTCTTCTGTAATTGGTCCCCTGATATGCTGCACTGTGCTTAAAGGTGACGTGAGCAGAGCAAAATGCAGTTTCTTGTGACATATTAAAGTAGGAATCAGGCATTTTCCTAAAAAAATGCAAAGGCAATGTGAGCAATTAAACTAGAAATATTTTATAGATACTGTAAAAGCATAACAAAGCCGTCAAAATGGGTTTTTCTTACCATTTGCCTCTCCTTTTGCACAGGGGATAGGATGGGCCTGTTCAAATATCTTTTTCTCCATGAGCAAAGCCTCTTGTTTCACTGTTACAAAAGGAATATGCAAAGCACTCACTTGAGTTTGAGTAATATCACAGTAATTATATCTTGAGCAGATGTTGGAAAGAGCCAGAAGACAACTCAAAACAGACATTTTTTTGCGGCATTGCCGAAAACACAGAAGAACAGAAACCACAATCCGTTTGTGAAGTTTAGCGTGAAGATAATTGTAGTGAAGGAAAAATAACATGGGAAGTTGTACAGTATTTGTTTATAGTACAGACAACAGCTGTGACACATTTTCATGCCCCGGAGAGCTATGATTTCGTTCTGTAACGATGTTACACACAAGTCTTAACTTGCAAAGAGGAATCTAGGTCTATGTATGCAAACACACATTCCTTGCCTTTCTGACTACACTTTTAAGCCTTACAGGGCAGATACATGTACTCCTCTATTGTTGGTGTCCTCTGTTGTATCTGAGAAAAGGGATGCCTCTTGTGTAGGTTTCATGTCGGCTGGGGGGGTGACAAAACTCATTGAGTTTTTAATCTTACATACTTCCCACCAACAGCTCCCTATACAGTAGAGAAGATGAGAAATTATTCATCAGTTTAAATCAAAGATGGAAGATGGCGTATTTTTCCCTTTTCTGTGTGGGTGCACTCTAGCTGGTCAGGCTTCCTGTAGGCTGGGTGAATTGATGTCTGTGTGTGCATGTTCACAAGCGTGTGTGTGTGAATTGTGACACGCTTTCCATCCAGAGTGTTGTCCTGCCTTGTGCCCTATGCTTCCAGGATGAGCTCCAAGTTCCTGAGACTTTTATGAGTAATAAACGGCTTCTGATAATGGTAGAAATTTGCCTGAGCCTCCTCTTCGCTCCATAATTTAATTAATTGGTTATTGCAACATTGGGCAGCATAACCCCCATATCTGGGCAGCAGAATACTTTTGCCTAATAGAATCAAGTATTGTGGTACAGTAAAGGTTCCAAAACATAGATCAGCATGACAACATCCATATTTCCAAGTAAACAGCGCAATAGAATGAAATATATACCTATTCTGTACAGTATATTTCTCTGAAGTCTGATTTTCCAGTACAGTATTACATTATCTAGGATGTAGACACCATCACAGATTGGTGAAAAGGCACTCAGTGGGGCTTAAATGGACCGTGGAGATGGGGCCTAAAAATCAGCTGACCAGTACAGAGCAAGTACAGTTTCTGCTGCGAAACCTCATATTGTCTATTTAGAATTGTTATAGGGGACCTTCACACCTTGCAGGGGCTAGTGACTCTCCCTCCCTCAAAAAACACACGTTTCATCTGAATCTTTCATGAATCTCAACCGTGTAGAATCTGGATGCCTGCCCTTTTTTAGGTTCAGTTAAAAATCTGCTTGAATTGAACCAGTTAAAGGTGATTCTGAGTTACGCAGGAGACAGCTTGGCACCTTATTTACTGCAGTATGTATTATTTGAAAAGGAATAAAATACAGTTCATATGGAAATATTGGAAATAGTGGAAATATTACAAACCACAGATGGTTTCAGTTAAAACTCCCAAACTGAGATGCAAACCCTGTTAATACCAATGTCATTTTATCTTTATTAGTTTTTTTATGATTTGTGGTGATGGGATCGGTTTACTACACGAGGTGAACTCCAAGTACAGAAAGTACAGAGTTTTTGTTCTTCGACTCGTCCCCTTTGCATTGATAGTTACAGCTACAAGAAACTATAACATGGTGAACCTGAATGTTAAAAGCAAGATATTTTCTCGGAGAGCGAAATAGAAAAGGCTTCAGAAAAAAAGGATATCGAGGTCAAGACTAGTAATAACATCAGCAAATTGTGCCCCCTTTTTGTCAATACAGCAAGGAAAAGCTCATTTCAAAACAAATGTGCCTAAACTGGAAAACACACCAAATATAGTTATCCTCTATTTTTGATTGGCTGAACTATAGGTCTTCAAATATGCATCAGAAGCTCTTGTGCGCTCCTTTCTTTGTGACATTTCCCTCCCTGTTACACTATTAACTCTGTTACAGAATAAAGAACTGTACAATTATTTTTAAAAAGAGGAAATCCTACCTTAGAAGTATTTAAGTGCTGCAGCACAAATATACAACGTACAATCCAGTAGCATCGGGAGTACAAATGGAAAGATTTGCTGTGTCTGTCACCGAAAGAGGGTTGAACAACCCCCTATGCTGAAGTGATAGAGCTGAGGTGTCATTAATGGAGCCACAGAAGACGTACTTGTAAACTGTTTCCAAGGCTTAAGACTACCTATAACCGGAGTCACGTGCCCCAGTCTGTGGCTTGTGCTTCCTTCAGGCAGTTTAAACTCGCACTCAGAGCTGTTGGCAGATCACAGGAAATCAAGACACTGTGTAAGAAACTGTGTAAGTATAAAAAATACTGAATCATGAAGAAGAGGGGTTAGGGCCTTTTGAGACCGCTTTAAAAATGAATCCAGGCTGTAATGAATTAGCAGCGCCATTCTCCTCCAGTTGCATAGTGGTGTTTTTTCTTGACGCCATTCTGCCACACAGGACACAGTTGTACAGAATGAACAACACCCCACCTGGGGAGGGGGGGATTAAGAGCAGCACTCAACCGACAACCCAGACGAATATTTAAGTGTGTCCTGTCAGTGAACAGTGGGCCTACTCCATTTCCTGCCTTTCTGGACCCCGTTAAAACGTGATGTCATTCTGTGCCTTTTATTTCATGACCTTTAGTTTCTCCAACATGGGAACTCTGTGGCAGAGCCTGACATTTTACTTTTTATACTTTGCTTTGGGTTTCCGTTATGCAACATGATGGGAGTGCTTTCCTTCTTTTTTGTACCACTCTAGCTAGCATGCTCTCCTCCCGACATACTTTGTAGCTTGCCGATTGTGAGTCATCGAAAGTCAATGTGGAGCTGTCATATGAGCTAGTACTGTATGGATGTCACAGAGCAGAGAAACTGACAAAAGCAAGCACAACAAATGTGTTAATCGGACATCATCAGTTTTGATGAACTTGCTTGCAACAAATCTTGGTTTATATCTGTCCATAGAGTGGCAGGTTGCACATGATGGATTGATAGTCACTGAGTTGATCGCCCTGCTTTGACTTTGTATTCCTTCTGTTTTGTTTTCAAGCACAACTCTTTTGGAAGCATCTGTTAAATATGTTTTTGCAAGCAGCAGTTTTGCTTTGGACATTTATCCTCAATATCCCTCTCGTGGCAAGTACATCTTCTCGCCTTTTTTTGTTTCCTGTAAGCAGGAAACATAGTGTAGCTCACAAATAAGATTTCTTGGACTTTGTCCAGGAGACTTATTCTGTTCTGTGTGATGTATTACTACCCTTTAAAATGGGTCAAATTAACAGAGAAATTGCTGCTTAGAAAAAATTAAAAGCTAAGCATTTTTTAAATAATCCCATGATGTTCAAAGAGATTAAGAAAAATACAGAAAACAAATATGTTTGGAAAACTGAATAATTATTAAACACTTCAATATAACTGAGTACATAACTATTTGTTGGAACTTTTATGTTACAAGGAGATAAAATGTGACAAAGATATCTATAGCTACTTTATGGAATTTTTACTGATGATGTAATTTATTTTTGAAAGATGGCAAAGGGGATTTGTATGAAATGATGACTTGAGATATTGGATTAGTTTGGCATCAAGTATCTGTTCTACACACCATAGTCTGAAATTTCACTTCAATAGTTTCAAATTGACATTGCATTATAAAATACATCTTTAGTGTAGGTTGCACGATGTCAGCAATGTTCTAACTTAGTTGGGCTGTTGTGCAAATGAAGCCAAACCCTATCGCCCAACCACATGGCGCACACCAGCAACTTTCACAGTGTTCTTCCTCTCAGCAATGAACCGTGCTAGCGCAGCAAAACCTCCTTGTTTCTACCCAACCAAGAGAGTTTCAGTATGTTTAAGCACAAGTTTCATACTACTGCTGTGCTTCAATCAGACCTCCCTGAAATCCCTTCAGAAAAACACAGACAAAACCTTCACACTTCTTTTTAAAGTTCTTATACATACTGTATGAATACTTCATACCCTGTATTCCCCTAACTGGAACAGAAATATTACTGCATTTTTTTTTTATGTTCCATAGTATGTTGACTTTTATTACCACAAGCATCTCTATGAAAAAGTCCCATGATTCCTTAGGGTATTTTAAGTCATCTACTGTGTTTGTTTTAATTAAAAAAAAAGGTTTCTACATTAAACTCAATAATAAGGAAAAAACCCTTCTTTATCTTACCCATTGTCAATTATGTTTGCAAATTCATACACCTGTAAGACCACTCAGCCAGAGACGGTTAAAAAAATTCCAAAGGGCTGATTGTTTAAAACATTGACGAATTTCACCACAATGAATATGAGTAAACAGTTAATGATTAGAGAAGCAGGCACGCCAAAACACAAAAACCTTTCCACAACAACAGCAAAAAGAATCTCCTGGGGGCCCCACAAGCTTCCCTGTGAGTTATACAGCAGTTGTTTTTTTACCTTTTACTGGCCAGAACATAGCTCACACCAGAGATCAAAAAAGAGTGTTTCTAGCGTTCAGTCTGATGGACTCCCTTATCACTCAGATTAGACAGCCCTCTGCTCTGGCTGTTCTACCACTTTTCAAACTGAAACTTACAGTGACATGTCCAGACAGTTCCACGCTCTCACAGACAAGAAAAACTGTGATCACAGAAGGAAGGATCAATCACACACATTCACAATGTTGTTTTTCTTGATGAGGGAAATAACCATTAAAAAAAACACAGCTCAGATGCTTCCGGAACAGAGTAGGGATGTTACTGTGGTGTCCTGTCCAAATTCCCCCCTGGCCTTTACCAGTCATAGCCCCTTCTATAAAATGGTGCCATTACCCCCCCACTGATAGCTGATTATAGCTGACGTTAGCTGATGTGTGTTGAGCCATCGCATCATCCAGGTGGGGGGTACACATTGGTGGTGGTGGAGGGGAGTCCCCATTATCTGTAAAGCTTTGATTGGAGTGTCTGAAAAGCGCTATATAAGTGTAACGTATTAATTAAATAAAAAATGTTTCTCTGATGATTATTGGCATTGACATTATGTATTATGTAAGATTAGAATCTTATGTTTAAAATGCTGATAAAATTTCACTGGATAATAGTCTTTGAAAGGATTAAAGTCTTTGAAAATGGGCTAAAACCTTTTTAAAAGCATTTTGGTCTGTGATTTTGCCTGTTTTATTCTTTGAAGCTCTACCTAGCAAGGGGGAAAACACAGATTTGTTTACGACACTAGTAGACCCACACTGCTCTTGAGCTGTGGAGCCTTGCTTTCTCAATGAAGTTACTGTGCAAGATTAAATATCAAGGTGAATTAGTAAAAGAAATACTTTCTGGAGAGCTGTGGGATTTACAGTTCTTAATGGGCTGACATTAGAGACACATTATCTACAATAGTGGCTCCATAGGATTTGTAATTCATTTTAATAACATCCAAGAGGATTTTGCAAACAGAGCCCAAATATGTTTTGTACAAAGGTAACTCACAGACTTAAGTAACAAGTCTGTACAGCAGATTGCACAAAGAAATTTCAGATCGTGAGCATAAGAACGGGGAGGGACAGGCTGGTTAATCAGAGCACATTCTCGCAGAACCAGCACCCAGTGTAAGGAATGCAGAGAAAACAAAAAAAAGGAAACAAAAACACATCACGTGCACAAATACTGCTGACAGCACTTTAAGGTACTGCCCTGTCTACACTATGTCCTGTCTTGGCTGTATTATAATGTCTATTGTCTAAATTTATTGTCCATGTCTGTTTGTCATCTGTGCCTTTTTTTTCTCTAATGTTACTGGGTACAGCTGAATGAGTAAGCATTCCAATAGACTTGTTGTATATGGCAAATAAAGAAATCTTGAATCCTGAATCTTGAAACGTCAGGACAAATGGTTTCGCACTACTGGGCACATGTGGAAGGCTGTTTCCCTCTTGACAGGACCTAACGTCACAGTGCACCGCAGAAGCCCAATGATATCGACACGAGTGTGCACGTCTGATCTGCACCAGCTCCCAGACGAGCCCGGCTGGTTCCTTACCCGATGCCTTCCTGCTGCCTTTGCGCACTGGAGGATGGTTTGCGTCCCCAGACTGCAAAAATGGAAGATGCAATAGATTGTCAGGGGTCTGCGCAGAAAATGAATCTCTGCACAATGAAAGAAGTAGTTTAACTATAATGCTGTTGTCCCCTTTTTGCTCTCTCACCTTTCACATTGCCTGTTTATCCTCTAGAAGGACTGGGTTTACATGCCAGCTGGAAACTTAAAGAGGTTTATGGATTCCCTAAGAAGGGGATGTCCTGAGACCAGTGTTCTCAGCTCCGATCATGAAGGACCCTGAGGTTTTGTAGTTTTTGTTCTTTAATAATTTAGCATGAGTGATCCCTTTAATTCAACGAAACATCATGTGGGAGTCCACAACCAGGTGACCGAAGTGTAATTTTTCCCAAAAATGTTGCTTTACTAGCAAAATTCCTGCTTCACAAATATCTTATTTTTTTCATAAAAAAGAACTTATCATTTACTATACACACAAGTTTGTATAGGAAAGGTTTTCATCATTATTACTGAAAGATTAATGCCATAGGAACCTTTCTCCTAATTTTCAGCACTGGGTTTAAGGCTTGTAATGAGTTATTACACGTCAGTCTTGTGTGATACCTGGACTGCCTTGGTTAGGAAGGACTGGCCTTCCTCACTTTGGGCTTTCTAAACTTTAGATAAAGCACAGGAGTCTCCCGTGCGGAGCAGCAGGAGCAGGTTATCACCCCGAATTCCCACTCACCTCGAGAGGCTGTGTGGGAATGGCCATCACAAAGTTGTCCGGAAAGAAGCCATGTTTGCCATTAATTTCTCCCTCCCACCATCCTTCGTCCTCCGTCGTCTTCACACGCACGGACACACAAACACACACCGTAAAAACACACAATTCACTTGTGTCAGAGATATAGCTTCCTGAAGCTGGAAAAACAGAGCTAAGTCTTTGTGCTCTTTAATCCACATCCAGCAAACTGGAAAAATGATTCAAAGAACCTCTTGATTGTTACCCTCTTACATTCTCACATTCCCAAAATAGCAAGAAAAGCCGTGTGCATCATCAAATATAGAATCCCTTAATTGACCACAGAGTTAGCAGGCTGTTTCCTTATTATTCTAATTGTGCCACACTTAAATTCCTGGTGATGAGTCATTAATTGTTTTTGGCAGTGTATTATTCTTTAAAGTCATTCCTGATGTCCAAAGTAGCTGAACAGAAAAGACAGGGAAAAACGCGTTTGAAATATATTCATTACCACCCAAGGGCAGAAAACAATGCTTGCATGTCTTTCACTGAACACTTTTGTTTATTTTTTATCAATAAATAAAGCTTTACTTTAACTGCATCATCAGTCCGTTCACATGTTGTTATAAAACCATGATCTTACCTTACTGATAATTGTAACAATTTCCCCTTTCTTTAAGGTCAGCTCATCTTCAGCATTGGCAGTGTAATCAAACATCACTTGACAACATTCCTTGACTAAAAGACAAAATAAAAAGGAAAACAATTATAATTGCAAGTCTTGTCTGACAGCATTTTTGTCTTTCAATGCCTACACTGAGTGATTTCCTCTTAATGTATGCGCGTAATTGTTATTGGTCCTATTCTCGATATAATATAAATTTAGCACTTTTTTAGTTTTAAATGTTTTTGTATTATCTCATTATTTTTTGTGCTTTGGTAAAACCTCACTGATCAGCTAAGAGGCTGATACAGAACAAAATATCCTGGTTTCTGGAGTACTGTGTTTAAGAACCATGCACTGCAACTTAACAACCAACTCCGACTCTAGAATGTTTGGGAAGAGAAGTCTGTTAAAAGGGACAGACCATTAAATGGTCAAATATTACAAATCCAGCATTTATACTTACTTCTGGTTATAAAGTATGAATAGAAAAATACCTAGAGACCTATTTTAAAAAGCCTGGATCAATCTGAGTGAAGTTTCTTTGGGTCAAGGGTATAAATGCAGTGTCTCAACCGGAAATTCGAACCTACAACCCAACCTGCCATACCCCAGAGCCCTCACCACACCTCCACACTGCTGCCTTGCAATAAACCAATGTCTCCACAAAAGCAGCAAAATCAATCCAGATGTCTAAGAACTGGTGTAGCACTCTCTAACTTGCGTGCTGTTTAATACACGTACTGCTCAGTGTTGAATCCACTGAGGTTGCAACTTTGTGGATCTCAGCAGGATAGTTAAAAACAGCAGCCAGTTAAAGAAACTCATTAAAAGCATGACAGCCTATGGAAACTATTATAGTATCTGTACAAGGATGCAGTAAAAAATCATTTCCTTGCCAGAAACGTAAAAAAGCTTTGTTATTTCAAAACCCCTAAACTGAATATTAAATTAGGTGGGTAGCTGCGTCAGCATGCGTAGGCTGCAAAGGAACAAGTAATAGGTTTATTCTATGCTGAAAAAAAGAAGAAAGAAAACACAACGTTTCGGCCGTGAAGCCTTCTTCAGGTGTGAGAAAGACAAGGCAGTAAGCAAAGGTAATATAGCCGTAGAACAAAAGCTGGGAGAGAGGAGGAGCGAGAGGCGGGAGCAGGGGACAGAAAGAGAGGCCAATCAAGAGGTGTGAGGTCAGGAGTCAGGATAGGTGTAGAGAGGTATGAAATGAAACCTCCAATGAATGGAGAAAATTTAGAAGAAAAGTAGTCTGTCATTAAGAGAAGGGGGAAGGTGTGATCCTAGCTGCAGGATAATTTTGGTTTCTGTAGTCTTTCTGAGGTATGAGTTTGGAAAACCGTCTTTGAGAACACAGACGGAGAGATTAGAGTGGTCGTGGCCGTCAGAGGTGAAATGAGAAACAATGGGCTTGGAGAGATCTTTAATCTTCACAGCCCTAACATGTTCTCTGAAGCGGTCTCCGAGTCTCCTTCCTGTTTCTCCAATGTAGATGGCTGGGCATTTACTGCAAGAGATACAGTAAATAAGGTTGCTGGAGGTACAAGATGCCATCTGGGTGATCCGGAATTGTCCTGAGGGGCCTTGAATGAGTGTGGTGTTAGATGTGTACTTGCAGGTGATACAGCGAGCTCCAGGAACCTTCCAGAAAGATTACTTGTGCCTGAATATTAAATTGTCTTATATGTATTTAAAAGCTGTGATTTTATTATTAAACTGGTACACTTAAGTATTTATGTTCAGGATGTGTATAGCAAAACAAATGTATGCTAACATCTATGCCGGAGGAAGAACAGGAGTGAATCTCTATGTGGGTATTTCCAAGCAAAGAAACAAATGATAGTATTATCTAATGGAGTGCGGTCTTTAAATGTAAATGTTTCCAAACAGTCAAAACAAAACACATTTCAGGTTTCATAATACAGACCTCAGTGCTCCAAACCTTGCAATTTTAGAAAGTTGTTTTTTACTCTTTACACCAATCTTTACACAAAACCTACTTTAATACTTATAGGCTGACATGCTTCCTTTGGAACTGTGATATGAATAGCAGCTTCTGAAACTTAAGCTAAAATCTTTATCTTTATTGCCACATCCGTAGCGGGAGAATCAGTTTGAGCTTTACAGGAAACAGCCAGGGGACAAATACTAACGCTGAAGTAAATCTGAACAAAAACAGTGCACTTCCTCATGACTCAACTTAACTTTACCAGCATCAGCTCATTATCAGCTGAGCCAACACACCTTCGTGACTCTGAGAGGAGGCATGACAAGGTCAGTCAATCAAACTGCTGCAAGAGGTGACCACTGTATTTACTCTGAATCTTTGTCTGAGTATGGCAGTCATTCATCTTCTTCAGAAGGGTCACATGAGTCCTGTGGTGGCAAAAAACACTTTCCTTCTTGTGCTAGACTGCACACTTATGTTCTTGTTCTTATCCTTGCACACTAACACTAACTGCAGAAGCATTGTATAACTTTCAAATGATACCATAGTATCCAGATACTTATAACTCTACATCTCAAATCAAAGTACGTTAAATTAGAATTACGGACTTTCCTTCAGAATGAACACTGAAACATGAATCAGAGGGTAAAAGTACAAGAAAACAAAGCAGAAGTGCATTTAAATCTTCGAACAAGAGGCTCTTATTTACCCAAAGGATATAACAATACAGAAAAAGCTAACAAGCCATGTTGTTTTAGCCAATATCCTGGCTTCTTTCAAGAAACATGTGGATGACATCACTGCTAACTACTAAATGGTTTTTATATGAGCTGAATGGGCTCCTCTCCTCTTTAACTGTTCTCATCTAAACAAGGCCTTCTCAGCCTGCAGCCCTTTTTTACTAAAGGGTTTTTCCAGTCAGTTCCCTGTTTCTTTAGATGATGATTGTCAGATTTAAGATAACAAGGCAGGTAGATCCAGTCCTTGGTTTGGAAAGCCTGCCAGAGCAGACTTTAAATAGCCTGCTTCACCTGAGACGGGAGTGGTCATAAATTGCCTGCAGGTGAAACAGGTTTCCTATCAAATTGGGTTTCCTTGGAAATGGCACTGACTGACAGGTGAGCAGAGGCGTGGCCAGTTGCCGCAGTAGCGCTAACCTACTCCTCAGCTCCTGCAAGGGCAAGCATGACAATTTATGTTTTAATTGGACTAATTTTCACAGCTTTAATGAGACATAGCAAACCTACTGATAAACTGTACAGGCCATTCAGGACCTGGACTGGAGACTCCCTTCTCAAACATCCTGCAGTGAATAAACCATGTGCTGCCTAACACTATTCAAAACCAAGTTGCTTGACTGGCATTTTATAGAACACAGTCCAGCAGGTTTAACGGGTGTTTCTGTGCTGAGAAGTATGAAAATGCCCTCAGGTTGTCCTCCTAAAGCAGGTTTTTGTGTCGTTTTCCTGAACTCATCCCAGTGTTCTGCATCTTCCAATGACAGAAACCTACCATTGTTGGTTTTGTGCTTCACTCTGAGACTTGACTTCTCCTGCTTTGGCTGAAATGTAATAGAAAATGTATGATAGTACTGTTGTTTATACAACCACAGATGTGCCATAAATGCTATTCTCATCAATAACATTGTGTGGGCTGCTTATTCTTAACCTTACATCAGTACAATAGTCACCCACCTTGTTACTAAAACTGGTTAAGTATTGAAATGTATGTTACATATTTAAACAGTGATAATAAACAAATACAATCGAATATATACCCAGGAAGTATGAAAGTAAAATGTGTTAGTTTTTCACAGTTATATTTTTTTTATTAATTTGAATTTCTTGCAGACTTCCATTCATGTTAACAGAATTAAACAAGACTGCTGTATTTCACCGTTGACAATTCCAAAGCGATTGAAGTGTGAGAGGGGACCCAGGTCGACCATTTACCTGGGTGACATGTGGCAGACAGCAGTTTCACTTTGCAGCAGATCAGGTGGAGGAAAGAGAAACTGCTTCACCAGTTCAATTATAGGGAAAGTTTTGGTTGGCCAGATTAAACAAGACGCCCAGGTTAACACCATCACAAATAGCACCACAGCATCTCTAACGATTTAGTAGTTAGAAGCTAAATAATGTATTATCTAAATAATGGCACCTTCTTAAGTACAGTGGCCCCTCTCACAATCCAGTAGCATTGATTTATAATTTCTGGTCCAGAAGGAAGAGTGGTTCCTATTGGTCTATAAACACCACTTACAACGGCATATTGACCAGGGCCAGCCTTGCTGAGCTTCAGAGATCTGACAATATCAGTCTAGAAAGCAGCAATTCTGCTGTCAGCTCTTTAAACACCTCCAAACTGTTAGTTTTTGTATTGTGTTTTGATACTGACACCAGTTTGGGACAAGGAACTTGAGTACGATATTCTTACCTCTTTATTGAAGTTACATTCTGATAGCTTGGGCCTTATTTTTGCACCACTGTTTGTTTCATTCAACTTGGCATCTAAACAGACCCCAAAGAAAAGAAGTCATTCAGTAACACTGGAGTAGCACCCACACAAATCTGATCTGAAATACACACAAAGTCATATGGATAACTCAATAAAAACATATATAACAGTATGGGATTCAAGCCTTAGCTAGGTTATCGAAGTGCTGCTTCTTTAGCGAGGGCAATCATTCCATATTTTGATGAGCAGTCCTGCACTGTATTTCTTTTTATGCTCAATATACAGTAGCTTAGTTGCTGCAAAAATAATGGTTTCTCTAGTACCAGGGGGTCAATACTGAAAGCACACTCTGTGACCTGTCCTTCACCTCTGTTGATTTCAATTAGAAAGTGCCGTGATGAACGAACCCTAGGCCTGCGCCCTGCCTTACCTTTAGGAGAAACTTCTTTGACAAAGTTAGATGGGAAAGCCCCTGCTTTCCCATTTTTCGCTCCAAGCCACCATCCATCTTCTATCTGTGGTCAAGACGGAAAAAATAGCAGTTCACCTCCGTGGGCTCTCAGAGCCTGATTTCCCCACAGTATGGATGATAACGACACGATGAAGGAATTTCGTTTGAGATCAACTTTGTCACGCACAAACAGTGCTCAGATCTTTCCACGACAGAACTACTTCTATAAAATGACACTTCCTTAAAATATTACACCTATATAAACTGTATGCAGAAGAGCATCTAGCTATGTCAGAGTCAGACAGCTAGATTCTTAAGCCTCTCTAGACATTTTTTAAAGAAATTTGGAAATACCTCGGTAATACCTTTTGACAGACATACCCTGCTTCCTCCCTAAATTTATTACTGTATGAACTAAAACACCCATTAATCCTTTGATGCCTCAAATGAGAATTTAATGGCTGAGCTGTAAAGTTTGTGATCAGCCTCATTTTAGAATGGGAAGGCTTTCTATTGGTTGCAATCTGAAAATCCCTCTAACAGCATTCTGAAAGAATAACTGCATATGTACAGTACACACAATGCCTCTACGGAGCCCAGCAAAACAAGGTCAATGAAAACCACACTGCAGTTAGGGGAGGCACATACTGTAATATATTCTGTTAAATACCTGAAGGAGGTAAACATGCATTTCACAACCACATGAGCTGCTTTTGCCATCTAATGTGGTTTCAGCATGTTTTCTCCAGTTCTCCATATAATAATATAATAAACTTTATTTTATATAGCGCCTTTAAAGGTGGCTTCTCAAATCACTTTACAGAATGAAAACAACAATACATAAAAATAATACACAAGATAAAACACAATTACAATATACAGAGGAGACCGTGGATGGTGGTACTAAGAAAAGTAGAAGCAGAGGGGTAAAGAATGGAACCAGTTAAGTAAAGGCTCAAAATCACGGTGCTGGCTGTTTTCAGAAACTCCAGCACCAGCACGGTGATTTCAGTCCATAATCCTTGTTCCACTTGGTGGGGGAAGGAAGGCTCCTACCACTTTACCTCCTTAATGAAGTCAATCACATCGCCCACAGTCAACTCCAGCTCATCCAAATTCATGGGAGTGTACGCAAAGACTGCTTCATACTTTGTGGGTTTCTTCTTTACTGTTTTTGCTGTAAAGATAACAATTCCCACAGTCACTTCCCAGACAGCCAATCTCCTAGAAGTTCTCAATGAAAACCACTACGATTTATGTTGCTGTTTTACATTTTATAGTACTGTGCAACTCTGCACTTGCTCCTTTCTGCCTTAGTCTTTTCAGCTTTGAATCGTGTTCAGGGGAGTTCACCACAAGCCAGGAGGACCATATGTTTAAAAACAGAGTTGTAAATGAAGATCAGTGAAACTCAATGCAACAGGACAGTGGCCACTCCAAATACACACTCCTGAACAGCACCAGTTCCATGAACAGAACAGGGAGAAACCCAGCGATCCCAAAAGCATATCTGTCTTCCTGTCCCTAGTTCTCTCACCTATATGACCCATGTGTGATGAAATCAATAAAGACAAGAGGGAGACCACACTAAGTTCAGAGTACTTTGGAAAACCTCCAACTAGAAAATGCCTCACATATGTAAAGAGATTATTAAAACAAGGTTTTAAACGTTAGTTTAGAATTGAAGCTGATTGAAATATATTCCCTGGAGGACACATGCTGAACAAATAAATTCCATGTTTTGGGAAATATCTAATTTTGTTTTACTTTGCTGACTTATGCCTCCCAGTTTTCAATCTTGTGGCCTCCACTGTACAGTATGTGCATGACATGTCACATTTCCAGATACCACAACTTAAAATTGCTGAAACCTAAACAGTTAAGCACAACGGATAGTCTCCATGGATGAATGTAGCAAGAGTTGTAAAGAAAACAGTAATATTGAAAAGGCTGTTATTTGGAAATATTTGCCTAGAGGCTTAGTTTATTCTGTTGTAGCTTAACCCTGTCCCATTGTCCCAATTCTAGGCTAGGACACACAGGAACAGCCCCATAGCAACTCTGTTTGAGGTGTAATTTGCACAGACTATGCAGGATGATTGGCCATAAGAGTAGTTATAATACCACTCTGTTCTAGCTCTGTTATTTGCATTGTGCCCATTACCATAACAAAATTTGGAGCAGGTAACACAATAAAGGATTCCTCTCCAATAAAAATAATGTCAGCTACTCCTAAAGTCGATACCAAGCACTAGACTTGAAACCTAAACCACTTCCTCTGATGACACACGACACAGAAAGCAAGCAGTGTAACGGCATGCAAAGAAACAGTAGAACCTCACAGAAAAAAAAGCACTGAAGTTTTGTGACAATATTTGTTAAGATGTCCAGTTCCTCAATTCTACACGACTTATCACAGCGAGCAGACTTTCTAACAATGTCACGGTACTGTGTTTTCATGGGGTTCCTCTTTCAACCATTTACAAATCCCATGCTAACTTTTAATATCATCCAGGTCAAGGCTGAATACAAAAAATACATACATTACAATACATTAAATATGCTGTACAATAAAAAGTCGCCCTTTTGAATTTCATCCCAAGCCGTTTCAATTCTAAAATATTTAACTTGCTTTGTGGCAAGGGCTTAAATATAAGATTCCCCAATAGCACTAAATGGCCTAAATAATAATAATTTGGTTAAGAAGTGAATGGCCAATTCACATTAATCTCTGGAATGAAAGGAGAAGTACAATACTTTTTTCTTTTCTCTGTCACCGTAATGCTAAGGAAATATTGTACATACTGTAAAGTAAAATGAAAAAGAAAGCCAATTTTACTCCAAAAGTGACAAAATAAACACAAAAGCTGTGTCGCATTTTACCCAGTGAGAAATTTGAGAAATATGTGACCAAAACACAAGAGTTCTTCAAATGCAGTGCACACTACATGATAACATAACACATGATGTCACCCTAACCTGCCTTTACTTTGGGTGATATGTGTGGCTAATTGTTTCTGTGGTACGTGAAGCTTTTTTTATTCCTGTTTTCTTCTGCTTCAGTACTGAGATGGGAGGATTCCCATATTCTTTACTAAATGTTATTAGAGGACTTTTCTGGCACACTGGTCTCAAAGCCATAGTGCGAATCCTTGTTCTTGACACACATTAGTGCCAAAACTGAAAGAGGTGTCTGATTGTTTTGAGGTTTTACTGGCACAAGATAATTGATGGTGGCATGCTGGGGAATTTGTGCAAAGAAAAATGCATTCTTTAATGAAGATATTATCGCTTTTCCTTTGAATCGAGTAGTAACAGTAACAGTTACTAACATCAACTTACATGTTCGAATGCTTCTTGGTATTCTTTGAGAATCCCCTGTTAAATACACGGGTATTTCCTGTGGGAAAACAAAAATGAGCAAGAAATAACATTTGTGTGGAAGTGACATTTTGGCCGGTGAGGTGGTCTGTAAGGTGTAAACAAGAAACCAAGACAAACATTGGAAACATTCATTTTGCACCGCAGTCAGGCCAAATCAAATACACCTCAGAAGCAGACCCACTGCCAGTTCAGTGTCGAAGAAGACCAGCTGTACCTTCGCGAAATTCGCAGGAAAAACTCCCTGCTTCCCGTTCAGTTCTCCTTCCAGCCAGCCCTCTTCCATCGACTGCTTCACGTTCTTGATGATGTCTCCTGCCTTTATGACCAGCTCATCATCCAGATTACCCACAAAGTCCATCAGCACCAGGACCTCTGCAGACAAGCAGCACCAACATGAATACAAAATGGGTGGCCAGGAGACGGGGAGGGGGGGCTACTTTTAAAAAAGACCCTGAGTGTTTACGTCATCGCTCGCCATTCAAGGTGGGGAAGCAATTAAAAAGGCAAACATTGCGAGGATTTATAGTTAAAAGCATAAATCGCCTCATCACCAATCCCTGGTTAGGTGAACAGAACAGTAAATCGTTACTTTCATTTGGCCTGATTTATAGCATAATGCACACCACAGTGAGGCAAAACATGTCTGAACTGGCTCCCCGGTTGGAACTTATGTGTTCAGACACAGAGGCTGCTTCTACACTGAGCTACAAGGCCCAGGAATCACATCCAGCTTCAGGCATCAGATTTTGTGTTCTGCTTTTACTCCGATTCCATTTCATCTGGTTCCTTTAAGAAATCCGGTGTTAATAAACAAACATGTGGTAGCACTGTTTTCCAGTTAACACACCCTGAAAATGGCCTTCAGATATGACAGATTAGAAATTCCCATTTTACAACATTGTGTCATCAGACCTGCAGAAACAGGCAGGGAAATTCTCATGTCCTGATGGGGGTTTGACAGTCTTTTTGTTCAGGTTTTCCTTAAAAAATTTAGGAAAATGGAGCAAGTGGATGGAAAGGTATGAATGATAATATTTGCAAAAGCTCAGTTTAGGCGTGTAGTCTTGTACTTTTTTAACATCTGTTAACTGCAGCATCAGTCAGCTTTGGTGAACCTCGATTTAAATTAAAGCCATTAATGTCAAAACACATTTACAGTGGCAGTGGAAACCACCCTTCCCTGCCTTCTAAATCACTGTTTTGAAGGGCGCCTCAAACTGCAGTTTGGTTCTTAACCATAAACCCCCAAAAGAGCTTGCAAAAGCAAAAGAAACAGAATAATATTTTGTCAGCTGCTAGCCTCGCCTGTTCGCTGTCGCTCGATTTTTATAAAGAAGGCAATTGCATTCCTTACTGTCTGCCTGGGGAAAGAAACATATTAATGAAGCTATTAGCAAGTATAATCTTTAGAAACTGAAAACTGCTTTGAGACACAATGGTACACCGGTACCACTGTATCCTATAGTGTGTATATGATATATATATATATTCATTTGGGTATAAAAACAGATTCAATCTCACAGTAAAACAAACCATTTAATCCGTTTAGGAGTATAAAAGGCAAATTTCCTGAATTCCTTGATAGTTTGTCTCAATACCACAGCAATGCTCTTAATTTTTGCCATATAATACAATACAAATAACAGCTGCATTTTTTAATTAATATTTTTATGGCAGATTTTTAGCCAAGCTTTTGGCCTACTCATTCATGTCAACTCAAGCTGCCTATACTTGGATTATTTTCTTTCACTGGTCCTATTATTTAATTGATGAAATAATGGAACAACAGTTCATTTCCCACTCTCCACAGGACTAACCAAAACTTTAAATTTCAATATTAGCCATTTGACAAGCGAACCCATTAATATTTTGTATGAATTGGTTTTTAAGTTTTAAAAATGCTATGCAATCTCTTAGGACAATGAGTTTGAAAAGCAGCTGTTTTCAAAGCACTGAAGAATTTCTACAGTAAAAAGAAATTATTCACCAATGAGTCACTTTACCCAAACGGATTAGTGTGATTAAAACATTCATGTCATTATGTATTGTACAACTTATGGAATTCTGAAAACTGAAATTATAACCTGTTTTGTTTGGTGCCTCTATAAAAATTCATAGCAGACTTATAATTTGAAACTTTATAATGTGGAGCATGGTACACTGCTTTTAATTTAAGAAATGCTGAGAAGTCTAGTTTAGAGATTGTTTGCTACACAAATCTTAAGTCAACTGAGTGTGTACATTTTTTGTCCACCATAAATTTAAACATATCCCACTGCCATTCAAGTGCTCTGTCAACCACAATTAACAACCACCCAGTCTCACTGACCATGTGTTGTAAAAAAACATCTTGTACAACTAAGTCTGTGATATGGACGTTCAGCAGGAGCGCTTTAAAAGATCACCTCTCCCGTCAAGACTTTGTAAGCGCACAGCAAGCCTCACTTACCCATCGCTGCTGGAATGGTTTTCTTATTCCTTTCTCTATGCCAGACTCTCGAAGCCGATCTCTGTTAGGAAGTTGGCAGAAACTTCCTGCCAAATTAAAAACTAAAAATCCAGCTCCACTCTCAAAAAGCAAAGCAGCAGCAGCTCTTCCTGTTCATCAAGCACTTAACACATCGAAGGTTCTCTAGCTAGTCACAGCAAGCCAGAAGGATGGGTTTACGAGAAAGAAAAACAGGTGGGACAGGTTTTTGTTGGAACAAGCAGGCAGATAAGGGAGAGACAGAAAAAAAAGACCCAGCTGACCGCAATATTCACTCTAGGATTCCAGAAGCACTGTGATTGGATAAGAGACTCTTGCGGGTTTCTGTAATACCTTCACTTGAAAACAATGCAATTGCTTCTTTTTAATATACTTTTTTGGGATAGAACTTAATGAACGAACTTAAGCAGACTACCATAGAGCATACAGAGAACGGAGAGCATTCTAATTTAGCTCAGAACAAAGATATGCCCTAAAAATATTAAATGCATTTATCCAGAAGCAGCAAGGGCCTTTAAAATTTATTTGTTGTTAATAAGTTGTTAGCCTTTGGAAGACTAAATATCCACGCTTATTTTAACTTTATTGAACATCATTCACAATCTGTTTTCAACCAGGTGTGATGAAATAAGAAATCTACATCGCTTGGACAGCAAGTAGGTTTGGTAGATGGAATGAACTTTATATTGTGTTTCATCAGCAAAAGGACTAAACCCAGTTAAATAAGAATTACAGCCTTGTATGCATCTGTAATGTGGTTAAACTTAAAATGTCAGATTTCAGCACGAGTCAGTGATAGCAGTTTATTTCCTGCTCAGAACCACAAAGAAATGCTTAATCTTGTTTAGGCCGCTTGCTCAAGATTGCAAAAATTACATAAATTTAAACACGGCTGGTTTTGAAAAAATGCCCCAGACAAATGTTATGCTGAAGGAAGTGCTTAATTTGATAGTCTGGAGAACATTAAGGATGGCAAAATGTTTTAAGAACCTTTGTATTGTAAAAAGGGATGCAATCAACAGTATAGCTTTTGAGAACCATTATAAGGAAATTCTGCTACAAGCTGAATGAGAAACAATAAATTACTTACTTCTAAACTTGAGAAAATTTACTTGAGAACTCCTGGTCGATAACTGTACCCAATAAAAAGAACACTTGTATATACCATCACTGCTTGAAGGACTATTACTGTTGCCCATTTAATCCAGGTTATACAGTTCTCTTTAAAGAATTGCCAAGACTTTTTTTTAAAGAAACATGCTTGCCTTTTGGCCATTATGAGATACAATCTGCAATACATACAGCATATATTGTACAGTAAGAACAATTTCTAGTGGAATACAGATTTCTTAATGCAATTTAAGAACAAGTTATCACAAATCAACACTTTTACAGATCCCTAAAACAAACCCTTGATGTGAACACCCCATTTGTCCACAAAATGTTTCTTAAAGTATACTGATGGAAAAAAAACGCAACATGGAATGAGAATACTATAGTTTATGTAGCTTGTGCAGTGAGGCATTGCAACTTGCCAGTCACACAAAAGCTAGTTAGGTGCACTTTTACGCAACGAGGTCCAGGTGGAACAATGCCTAATCAGGTCACTTTTAAAAAGGCTTTAATTCAAAGCTTAGGTCACTGAAAGAAAGGCCACACTTAGTCCGTTTTCTATGCATCCCATAGTGCCTCGAATGTCACCAGAAGCAAGGGAGAGGGCCATTGGCATGCTGCAGGCAGGCATGTCATTTCTAGACCTTATGGACTAAGCTGGTCCACTGTGTCCAGAATTCAGAGGTTTCAGCAGACCGGCAGGACAGATGACCGTCCAAGATCCGGTACCCTCGAGTGACCACACCAGAGCAGGAACAACAACAATAATAATTGCTTACACTTATAAAGCGCTTTCCTGGACACCCCACTCAAAGCGCTTAACAAGACATCAGACGATGAGAGATCGTTTCAGATCTGCCACCTTTACTGCTGCTGAAACTGCGGGCAGACACAATGCCCGCATCAGTGGCAGGACAGTGAGGCTCCATGCTGCTGGCCACAGAGCAAGGCGACCCGTCAGAGGCCCTCTGCTCACACCTCCTAGACGTTACACCGACTGCCTTGGGCCAGACAGAGGCTGCGATGGACTCATCAGCAGTGGCATCAGGTCTTCTACAAGCATGAGTCACTCTTCAGCCTGTTCCACGCAGACAGGAGGGCCAGAGTGTGGAGGAAGAGGAGGTGTTGCGTTTAATTTTTCCATGAGTATTTAACATTCAATCCAGAAGTTATTTTGCTTACGTGAATTATACTTGCCTACATCTAATGGAAATCATTCAATTAAGCTCTGTCAAATTTCAAAGTTGGTCAAAGCTGAAAGGACAGTGCCAATATTCAAAATTTCCAGTGGAAATAGCGATGGTGACAGACTCAAAGAACAGTGCCATTATCATTTTGCTAAGGCACTCCATTGACTTCAGCATTCCTACAGGACAAAGCATGATTACTCAAGTGATGATCAATAGTGTTGCACTGTCTCCTTACCCTAAAGCACGCGCAACTAAAGACAGTAAAATCTTTTGAAAGTACTGTAAGGTTTGCAGTGATATATATTTGTTTTCTGTTGCAGTAATCAAACAATCCTTCTAATATTGCAGATTTTAAGCTTATATTCACATTGGTATTCTAAAAATGTTTGCAATCTTATGCGAGTCTGTTGGCACAGATCATAACCATGTTATATTTGGACATTTACAAGAAGCATCCAGTGTGAATTAATTTTGGGAGGCTAGTCCTCTTACCACATACATTAGTGAATAACTTATTCTAAATTGTTTACCATTACAATATAATGCTAGTGTTTATGACAAGAGACACTCAATATCACACAACGTTCAGAAACTGCAGTATTTCTAGAATAAATGAAGACAGGACAAATCAAGTCAACCAGAAATTAAATTTAATTGACAATCTGGCAAAAACATTTACGCGCTACAGGTGCATTAAAAAAAAACGAGTGTTTAAAAAAAATTACTAATGTTAATCATAGTCATACAGAATATCCTGTACATTAAAACACAGTGCAGTCCAGAACAAAACCTACAAAACTGGAATACAGTGCAACTGATAAAAGTCTGTTGACAAAAATGCAATTACATTTTTACACAACTGTATTTAAACTTACTGATTTCAATCACTACTGCCTTTTCAATGGGAAAAGGCCATTAACACGGCCTTTTTACATAGAATGTTCTCCTTTTGAATAGCAAAAAACAAATACATATTTGTAGGAAGACCGAGTTGCACTTTGCTGCAATACACACTGTTAATTAAAAAAAAATACAGAAGAAAGCAGAAGCACTATTGGTTCAATACATTGATAGAAAAATACCCACATAATACAATTACAAGAGCATCTAGATTTTCACGCAAAAAGCCGACATTTGTCTTATGAAAAATTTTATATTAACCCCCTTGCCAACATAAACGCTAAATGTGTAAAATTTTCTAAAAAAAAACTTCATCTGAGGCTCGAACTTCAAATATTTAATGGTGTCTAACCTGAAAAGCAATTCCGATTAATTGGATTACATTATATTTGCAGAATTTTTAAGAGGTCTTCACTTCCGATGGACAGCAAACACTTCACACAAAACAAGATTTAAAAGAAACCTTGTCAGTCTTTCTGAAATGCACTTTAACCCACGACAGATTGGTCCCACGTCCAAGAAGGGTCTATACAGAGAATTTAATACCGGTCCTTAGATCTGCCCAAAGCCACCACAAGGAAGTAGTTTTGTTATCCTGCCAGCTGAGCACACCATAACAAATTCCGTAAAAGATTACTGCCATTTTTATATTTATGTAGATATGTACACATCTAAGGCACAAAAAACACTTCCCCCCCCACCCCAACCCCCATCAAGCCATCAAAGAAAAAACAAGGAGGGGGAGGAATAATTTTTCCCAACTAATTTTTAATTTGTTTTTTGGAACTTCTGCACTGGTTTTAAGTAATTATTTTATGGGGATATTATTAAACATTAAAAAAAGTCCTTAAACCCAAAAATCTATGTGATGTGTTGTTTGACTATATCAAACAGTCATCATATACTATATACAGGTTGTGTATATAGTAAATGTACAGTCTTTTTATGGTCTTTTGAATTAAAAAAAATAATCAATTTTATATTGCCCCAGTGCTACTGCATAAAGCAAAAAAATCAATTAAAATAATGTTGCATAAAAAGTTTAAGAAACATTCCAAACAAGTGAAATCATGCACAACTGCTTAAACCTCTTGAATACCGAAACTGCTTTATTCTCAAAAAATGAATCATCTTTTTGTATTAATGAATTCCAATAGATTTCTTTTTACTTTTCTGAACCCATCCTATCAGTCTTTGAAAGCAATTTGAAGTCATTTTTTTTTGCAATATACAAGATAGGCGTAATGGCTTCGTCTTGTCATTAATAACCTCTCTTTAGTAATTTGGTTCTCTGTGCAGAGGTCACATCATGTGATGGTACGTTATGCTGTTGTTAGGGTTGCGAGCCGGTATGGTACGTGGTACCTTCATGGCTCCAGTCAGCTGCTGACCTGAAACCTACTGCTCTGTGGCAGCTGTGCCTCCCGATTTGTCTTCCTCCTTATTCTCCGCGTCGCTGTCATCGGGCAGCTCCCCTTCCTCACCGCTGCCCTGGAACTTGTCATGAGTCCACTTGGGACTGCTGCTGGTCTTCCTGAACATGAACCGGCCTCGGCCTCGCTGGAAGGTGCCGCGGCCTCTTCCGCGATTGTCCACCCACTTCTTCTCTCCCTCACCTTCTCTGTCGTCATGCTGCGGGGAGAGGAAAGACAAAAAAAAAAGAGTGTCTCTGTTCAGTTTCTTTCGGACTGATCCTGATAGGATGAAAACGATCCTATGCGGCAAATGACAATGGGATCTGAACTGGAACTGGTTGAGCACTTCAATATACAGGGTTGGTGATGATGTCATTAAAAGGCTCGATGAGGTGGTGGAAACGAGACAAAATCCCAGCTTCCAAAGCTGCCAAGCCTCCGCCCCCACCCCCCCCCAAACACAAAAATAAACACGAAAATCTCAGATTCTCAGTTGTGTCTTAGTTCAGATCCTCCCTTCTGGTTCTAGACTACCCTAGAAAACAGTCAGATGCCTTTCAAAACAAAAAACCAACAAACATACCAAGTAATATTTTTTGCTCTTGGGTGTGTACTCTGGATCCCATTCCTCTTCCTTGGAACGCACTGGATTGCCAGGGTTGGAGGGGTTACCATTGCTATTGTTTCCTGGATAATTACCCCTGTTCCACCCCCTGCCTCTTATTCTGAACTGCTGCAATAAGAAACCAGAATAATTACCCAAGTTGTGCTGCCAAGTCCTTTTGAGATCTCAGTTAATCAACACAAAAAGGTTTACAAGTCATTCTGGAGAGGGCCTGGCGGGAGTAACTAAACTAAACCTCTGAACTGAGAAACACTTAAGTGCTCGGTGAGTTTAAGGGTTAAGAGGTAGTAAATGGAGTGAGGAAGGGGGTTAAATACATAAGAAATGGCTCCTAAACGTTAGAGCAATTATTTTCAAGTTAATGTAGGATACAGAACTAGAGGACACAAATGGAAGCTGGAACCACCAGAAATAGCTGGAGGTGGATTTCCTCAGAGAGGAAGGAATGAATTATAATTGCATGCAATGGTTAATGGAGTTGCACAGTCAAGAAAGAGACTGAAGTGTGTGCTATTTTGATTAAAAGAGAACTCACACAATGGGGCCAAACAATTAAACAAAAATGAACTGCTTCATTACATTGGCAAGTTTCCCAGTTAATTAATAAAATAATAGAAATCCAATAGAATACATAATGGATTTTTTTTATGGAACTGTCATTTCTTCAATATACTAAGTGTGCTAATCCAGAGAGACTTTGGGCACAATACTATATTTTTATGAAAGGCTCCCTGTTTGTAATAAGTGAATTCCACAAAAAAAATTCCTCTTATTGTTTAAAGTCTAGGTTGAACAGTTAACCATATTAAGCAAATTCCAACTGCTCTTTTAGATTAACTGCATTTTAGGCCCTTTTCAAAAGTCTTGTTTCCATGCCACCTGACGTTTGGAAGGCTCAGACAGAAAATATCGATAGGATTTTAATTAGCACAAGTCAAAAGAGGCTTTGCTCCACTGTCTTTGTGAAGAGGTAAGAGCAGGGGGCTGTGCCAGTGTGCAAGCTGCAAAGGAGGAAAGTAAACCAATGCTGAAAAGTGAAGTTTTTTTCCCCACTCTTTACTTTTCAGCATGGGAGCTCTGTGATGGAGGCTTGCGGACCCCTTTGACAGATGGCTATTCTGATGGAATGAGCTCACTTACAAAGCCTCCTCTCCCTCTGCCTCGCTCCATGGGGCCGCCGTAATCGCGCACTCCCAAGCGCGCCTTGTTGAAACCCTCCTCCTTCTGCTCGGGGCCTTCAGGATAGTCTCCTCCTTTGAAGGAATGGGAGGACGAGGAGGACTCCGAGGAGGACCTGGATCTCTCACGGGTCTTCTTGCGTTTCCTGCAAAGCAAAAGACAGAAAAACACAGATCTGTTCAAACCGCAATCAGCTGCGCTTTGCAATTCCTCCATGTGCTGGGATAGATGCTATGCCTTGCCATGCTTACAGGTTGAACAGAGTGCTGATGCCAGGGTTCTCACTAAGATAAAACATCTGCGCCGGCGTCACTGCACTGGCATCCAGTTCACTAAAGAATCAGTTTTAAAATTCTTAGATTTAAAACACTAAAAGCAGTTTCTCCTAAATATCCAATAAATTTTATACAGATGTTTTATTACCTTATCTGAATGAACACTAAGGTCATATGATACTGTCTTTTCATGCTTTTTTACAGTACACCTTAAAAGGAAAAGAGCAGCCGCCTTTTGTTATAATGCCCTAATACCATAGAAATCACGTTTTATTAGAAATGCAGCTTCAGTTCTTTTTAAACGTAACCTGATTTTACATTAACTTTTCAGAATTATTTTAAAGCATGTTTAGTATCTTGAATAGTTCTTTAGTTTTGTGATTTTTTAAATCTGTATACTTAATATTCTTTTGTTCAAAATCTTATTTTCTGCGTTCTCTTAATGATTAATATCATTGAGGCAAAGATGCGGTCTTAATATTTTTTATTCTTGATTTCTGTGCAACGTGTTTTACATTACTCTTATATATTTTCTGCTATGTAAACAGATATTAAGCTTCATCTAGCTCCTCAGGTGTGAAGAAGGCTCCACGGCCGAAACGTTGCGTTTTCTTTCTTTTTTCCCAGCATGGAATAAACCTATTACTTGTTCCTTTGCAGCCTACGCATGCGGATGCAGCTACCCACCTGAACTAAGTTAACAGAATTGTACTTACTTTGTCTTCTTATGATGCTTTGATGATTTTTCAGTGGATCTCTCCCTGCTTAAACTTGATCCCCTGGATTCTCCAGAATCTCTCATCCCATCTCGTTTGTGCTCTCGCTCCTTACTGGAGTATTTTTTGCGACGCTCAATATCAAGACGGAGATCCATTGAGTCAGTCTTCATTTTTTTACCTTCATCCTATAAAACAGTTTTTTTTATTTTCAATGATTATGGTGCCGAAAACACTTGCACTGATTATATAAATAACCTTTGGTTGCAACTTGTTCTGAAATGGAACAAATTAGAAGAGCAGTGATCATAAATTCTGCTTTTGAAACTGAAGTGAAATCATCAACTGCCATTTTCCATTACAAATCACAACTGCTCATACACCAGCTTCACAGGGGAAAATAACTTTATGCAACATGATTAAACCACTGTTTGTTATTTCTGTTCATTCACTCTAATTTAGAAAGACGTTCAAAGGCTTTTGAATACACAGAGGATGTATAAGATAAAGGAAATGAAGAACAAACAACAAGCCACTCAAAATGCCCACACTGCACTGACTATTCATTTTATATCTGATTAAAAATACATGCTCTTTTATCCTCTGGTCTATAGGTATCACCTTACATCCACTACAGCTGCTCATGGTTTAAATTATGGGGCTGCAATCACGATTTAGTCTAGTGCCAACTACCATAAGTTTCCTTGAGATATTGCTTTTTTAATGTAAAGATAAATAAGGCCTTTTGACATTGGAAACATTAACGTGTAAGAATTCAAAATTTCAAAAAGGTGTGTACAGCGCCAGAGAATACAGTATAGAAACATGCTCTGAATTCCTGATAAAGACAGCTGTCAGGTTATTTAAAATAAGACACGACAACTAACAGGTTATTACAAGTACTGACCAAGGAAACAACTGACAGACAGTGAAGGAAGTAACGACTGCTTGTTTTTGGAACACCGCTGGATTACAGGGGAAACCTCAGTTTGGTTCAAAGGCATTACTTTTAAACAATGATGCATTTTCAACTTATAATTATAAATTATAAAATTTACTGATAAAAAATACAACATGCCTCTGTATTCAGATGAAATGATTAGTAGGAGAGTGTTTTACATTCAGCTTGTTGAAGAAAAATACTTACAATTAAATTGATAAGAGTCCTTTGACAGCTTGGATACTTGGTTCAAAGTTCACTCCATTTTTCCCCCCTCAAGCTCACCTCAATTGCTTTGGTGGCCATGTACCACATTATAACCATATCACAAACGTTGAGGGTATATTTAAATAAAACAAACAGAATGTCGTTCATTTTTTTAGACTTATTCACCTCCTTTGAAAGAAAAACACAAACTTAAGATAGATGGCAGTCTAAGATGTGACCCATTGTTTCTTTCTCCCAAAACTTCATATTTCAAAAGGCCTCATTAAAACTTTTGGTCACCTTGGAACTGCTTTCCCTGGAGCTTTTCATTTCCTCAAAAAGATGAGAGTGTTTCCTAAAAGCACTGGGAGAAACATCAATTCTCCTAGAAAAGAAAAAGAAAAAAAACAATATATGAGACAATGCTTACCTGGGTTTAATCACACATTTGTGTCTCTGCAAATCAAAGTATTTCGGCACGTTGAAGATGGATTATTCATTAATTATATCCTAAACTAAGTACAAATAAAATCAACTGTATAGACATACAGGATATTTTGTCTGGATTTCTGGAAAGCTTCAAAACAAAGGGCACCAGGTATACACGGACAACAGATCCGACTAAGAAACTTAAATTACTCCACATTACACATATATAATCCTGGAGACGAATAGACGTTTCTGTCCCAACATCTAAGGAGTGAAGGAAACAAAGCCTAAAACATTATAATACAGTAATACATGTGACAAATCTCTGACCATTCTACCTATGAATTTCTGGGCTCTTTCTTGGCTTCATCATTTCAGCTGCTCTTCTTTGGTACATGGCGAAACGTTCATTTAATGTCATCCCTGAGGACTCGAAATGTTGTGCTGTGGATCAGACAAAACATTTAATTTCACATTTTATTCTGAATCAGAATGCAGATGCAGAGGTAAATGGAGATTTCAGAAACTTTAAGCACAGTGCAAAATATCCTTGAACACATGCACAATGCTCATTTTGTGGAACACATTATTTTGGGGTTAAATACTGAATCATATGGAATCTGACAACACTGGCATGGTGTTAAATGGATTTACTCAGCTGCAAACTTTGCTGAAGTACAATGACCGATCTTCAAAATGGACTGACAAAATAGCAATGCCTGTGCTATTGTAGTTTACAGAACAATTTCCAATTGCTGAGCATCATCATGGCAAAACGTTTTGATGATCATATTATCATAATAATTTTAATTTTTAAATATAACAGCAATGCACCAGACCTTTTACAAAAAAATGCAATTACCAATAAAGGTAACTAATTAAACTTACCAGGAAGAACAGAAGCAATAGCTGGGATTTAATGCTTTGAATTAAAGATTAATTACAAAATGTGACATTCTTCCATAGACTGAGATCACCTTCCCTGTTTCTTGTATAATCCAGTACATATTGGTTAACAAAACCAGGATACGTCCTGTAATATCATAGAAGAGGCTCAATGGAAGAGGGAGATGTAGGGGGATAACTCCAATGGATTCTTCTTTTTTAAGAAACCCTTAATTATGTCTTACTTCTCTGGAAAACAATGCTGTAACAAAATCCCTGATAACACAAACAACTTTGTTACTTATATTTAAGTCTGGCAACTCTACAGCTTTCTTTAGCCAAGACACAATATTCTTGATCAAATATTGAAACTCATGAGGTCCATTCACAAGTTCAAGCAAGATGACTACGATTTTACAGAACTGGCATCAGTACAAAACTGCATGGACAGTGTACAGTTATTCCTCTGTAAAAAATTACACATTGTTGAATGTGTTCCTGTACTCACTGCAAGTGGAATGCAGTTTCCTCTGAATTTAAGAATTTATTTAGCATCTGAATCTCCATCATAAGAAAACATAACTGTTTTAAATGATGGTGTGGTGTGGAAAATGACAGGCATTTTTGATCTCTTAAGGACCCAGTGAGACTTGTCCAGGGAAGGTTTACCTTTGATATGGTGAACTATGGTGACAATGTGCTGAGCAAAAAGCTCAGAGGGGCTTCTTCTTAACTGGGTTGACTGAATGTGCTGAAAGATGGAGCGAAACTCTTGGTCTTTTTTGCTTGGATGCACAAGATCCCGAGAGAACCGGCGTTCGTTTGCCAAAACCCCGGAGGAGCTATATGAAAACGAAAGAAAAAAAGTTAGAAAAAAGCCTTAGAATATTGCAAGGAAGACAGTTTTGTGTAATTTATGAATATATTAAATGTCATCAACATTTATTGAGGTAGGCCAATGACTGTTAGTCCACATTCTGGCAGAAAAATGTCTGTTCTCAAATTACCTTGCATAGTCCTCATGGAAGGGATCCATTCTAACACTGACTTCAGCACTGCGTTTCCCAGAATACGCTGGGGTAGACCTGGGTGGGGAATCATCCCTCCTGACATTGAACATTTCCCTCTCTCTGTTCTCCGAGCTCTTCCGGGCTGGAGGGGAGGGGCTCTGTCCCTGCTTTTCCTTTTTCCTGCTGGCTTTGGGGGCTTTGTCAGGCGAGAACCCCCGGTAGCCACTGGCCTCGGCCTTCTTGGCTGCGGCCGCCGCAGCTGCAGCTCGCTCCTGCTTCCGGCTCCTGTACAGCTCTTCTTCGACATCGTCGATGTCGTCTTCGCCCGCGTCTTCCTCCTTTCTGAGTTTTTCCTTGGCCGAGGGGAAGTATGCCAGCTCGTCCCACTTATTGAACCGCTCGTCAAACATATCCCTGTTGGCGGTGATGGTAATCTTGCTCTTATGCTTTGGCTCATCTTCCATCTCTCGCTCCTTTTGGTTCCGGACTTTGTGTCTCTTTTCCTGGTCTTCTCCTGCTTCTGCAGAACCGAACTGAGGCCCCTTCAGGAACTCTGCAGCCGAGCCCAACTCAAACTCATCATCATAGCCGTACTTCTCCTCTTCGTTTTTGCTATAGTAGTCAGGCTTGAGGCCACTGTAGGCAGCTCCCTTGTCGAAGGAGCCAGCCTTACCATTCCCTTTGTCCCTCTCAAGCTCGGCCATTTTCTGTTCTTTTTCTCTTCCATTCTCCCATTCCGCAACCTGAATTTTGTTCTTGTGTTCCTCCAAGAACCTAATCATGAAAAGAAAAAACAAAGCTTTTTGGTACCTGACAAGTGCTTCTTGCCTTCTTTCAGTTTTTTGATCGTCCCTCTATTTCATGCCAACCACAGAGAGTAGCAGGAAGCTGCCAAATTTTTTTTTGTAATGTTCATCAGAAACATAGGTTAATGTTTAATATTTTGCACTTCACAATGGAAACTGAGCAGGTCAATAACTGAATTATAATATTTATTGTACCTGCACATAAATGAGATGACTTTACAGTACAGCAAAAATGTTTTCAAGAACCTGAAGATAGATTTTCTCTTAACTTTGTATCATACAGACTTAGATGCATTCTTTTTTAAAATATTCACACTAGAAGATCAAAAAGGATTCTGTACAGGCTTGTTACAGACATTTTTAACATTTTAAAAGATATTTTTCCAAAACGTTCACAGTTAAAGTTTTTCCCCAATCTACAACATTCATATGACACTTCAATCACCCAGTTAAGGTATCCCAAGCCGAACCCAAACTGGTAACCTAAGACTACATTATTCAACACACAGGTGTGTGGTATCAGAAACCAGGGAAAACTATATCAGCACAACTCTGTGATTTATGATTTTACAGTCTTGGCATAACTGTGCACTGCTGAATAATCTCTCAGAAATAAGGACTCATTTACGGCAGTACTAGGAATCAAGTGGGTTAATTTATTGCATACTGCTGATTAAGTTAATAATACTTCAGCAGAATGTAATCAAGGTTATTTGTATACCTTTGTTAAAATACACCATGCACACAGTATACAGAATATTATATTATAGTCATAAATATACTGACCATAACAATCCATATAAAATTGTCATACTTACTTCTACAATTACTTAGAGACCTCTTAAATATTTGGGATTGCGTAAAATGTCTAATGCATAGCAGAAGACGCGAAAAGCCGCCAAGCACTGGTTTTAATTAACTTTGAAAGCTGAGGACTACAATTCCCATTTAAAAATATTATTCTTCCATCGATCTTTGAAGCAAGACTAAAAATTGAAACAAAAAATAATTATGATAAAATACCGAGCAAAAACTAAACATTAAATCAAATCACACTTGAAAGTAATTACAAAATGATGTAACATTAGTAATTAAATCAAGAAGTCTAGTACCAACAATCATCAAGCCTGGATATTTAAATTGAAATTGCTGTGACTGCAATTAAAGGTATCCATCCACAACAAAACTGCAAAAACCTTATGCTGTGGATAAGCAATGTCATAAAAATGGAATCATTTTCTACATTAAAGACTGTGCAGAAAACCTGACAAAAAAAAAGGAAGGGGAAAAATTCAACTTACTTTTTAAAGGCTGTAGAAACCGAAGAGGGTTTTTCTCCTGCCCTGACATCGTCCTTCGAAAAGAACCCAAAGCCAGAAAAGACTGCAGTTGGGCTCTGCTGCGGCGGGCTCTTGCTCGTTGGGGCGGGCCCGCTGCTCTGCCAGGGGGCGTTACCTAGAGATTTGCTCTGTGCTGCAGCACTGGACCTGGAGGGACTCGGGGAGCCTCCCTTCACGGCTGGGCTGGGTCTCTTCACGGCGACAGACTGCAGGGAGGGGCTGGGGTGGGCCGTGCCCTGGCTGACAATAATGGCCGAGCGCACCGCTGGACTGGTCCGCTTGGGGCTGGTGTCGTAGTCGATCAAGCCCTGCCAGCTACCCGAGGCCCTGTCGGGGGCGCCCTCGCCGCCCGCTGCTCCCGCCGCCTCCTCGTCCCTCGAGCCCGCCCTCTGCGCCTCTTTGGCCGCGGAGTCGGGCCGCCCGCTCTCCTTCAGCTCCTTCGCGGCATTCCTTTTCGAAGATCCCGAGCGGCTGTGAGTGGAGGAGGAGCGTGAGTCGGAGGAGGAGGAGCCCCTGGTTCTCCTGGAACGACCAGAGGACGAGCGGTCGGAATACCGGGATCGGCTCCTCGACCTCGGGGTCCCGGACCGTCTCTTAGGAGATCTGGATCGGGAGCGCCCCCTCCTGGGACTGTGCTGATGGTGCTGCTGTGGCTGCTGCCGGTAGTTCTGCCAGTTGGGTCTGTAATTGCCATAACCTCCTCCTCGCTGGTAGCGGCCCCTGGGATAATATCCTCGGCCTCGGCCGCGATAGTAGTAGGGTCTCCGGAAGCCTCTGTTGTAGCCCCGGAACTCGCGGTTGTTCTGGTACTCCCTCGGGTAGTTCCTTTCCCTGTTGTGAGGCGGGGAGTGTGACCTTGAGCGAGAGCGAGACCTAGAACTGGAGGGGGGAAACAACACGTTAGACCCAGGCCAAACGCAGGCTCTTCCCACGCAGCTGGGGGAGAACAGGTAGGATGCGCCTGCAAAGGTAACGTAAGGACAACATCGTCTGTTGTTGTTTTTTTGCACACTGCCTGTTGTCTCTGTCTTTCTTTTGCTACACAATTGTTGTTGTTGTGTTTTTCTCTTTGTACTACTTATGTCCGAGAGCTAGCTAAATAGCATTTCGTTATACCATATACCATGTATACGAGTGTAATGACAATAAACTTGAACTTGAACTTGACATCACGCTTTCAGACAACTAATTCTTCAGCTTTCTTTCCTCATTCAAACTGAATTTAGGGTTCTCGTTCTTAATAGGGGACCACCAACGGTATATCAATGACAGTTTTAATTTAATTACACAGTGGCTATAACTCAAAAAATAGGAAAAACTTACATGTACTTTACTTTTTAGGTGGGGGGGAGACAGGAGCTTTCTATAAAAACTAAACTAAAAAATGGCAACGGAATCCTGCTCTTGGAGAAATCACCGACATTTTGAGACCTTTTGGAGTTGCCACACGTCTGTAAAGCATGCTGTGTCCACTAGGTGGCTCCCAAGAACCAGGTTTGAAAAGCATCAGCCAAACAGCGACACAACCGGGTTCCTGCGGGTTAGGCAGGAAAGAGCACGCTTGCTAGCTTCTGCGTTAGCTGAATAAAGCGATACTTTGCTAAAGATACAAAATGCCTTCTAAACCAGTAAGCATGACTATATTTAAAAATACAAATTAGCAAGAAGGCTACAAATTCATGGTTCAAAAAACGTTATTGAAAGTAAAACAAAACCAGTACTATTACTTTGAAAGTGGGTCAAACGTATTTCAACAGCACATAAAAAAACCCCATAAAAAATGTTTCAGCAAAGTATTCAACGCTTTTCCATTCTCATGAAGTATTGCAACATTGATCAAAATCTAAACATGCCTAAGAGCCCCTACTAAAGCCAAATACTTTAAACTTGTAAACAACTTTCAGCGAAGTTAAATAAAACCGGAGAAGAGAAACTATTCTAACCAGCAAGGTCTACCAAAACCGTCAGAGCAATAGGAAACCAGCACTCAAAAACGCTCTTAATCTTCTCTAAAGAAGCAGACAACAAATCTTCCGACGCAGGGATTTAAATACAGAAGTTTCTTATTTTAATCTCGGACAACATCAGATTGTGCAACGCCAAAGCAACCCATGCAAATCCTGTACTCACCCAGTGCGTTTTTTCATTGGAATCAACTGCAAATTGTGAAAGCACTACGCGGAGCATTTCAAACTCAAGGCAGTGAAACTGAATCTGTATCTCTTATGAGGGTTCTGGTGGAAAGAGGCGGTCACGTGGGCCATATGGGAAAAATTTCTACTCTAATCCCTTCGAGCCCAGGAGGGCTCCAGTTGCCAATTACTAGAGATACTGGCCTGTTGTAAATTTAATTTAAGTGCTCAAGTTGTCCGATCTGTTTGTGCCTGAAGTAACAGATTTTTGATTTTTAAAAACAGGAAAAAATAATATGACCACATTGTTTCAATCACTACAGCTGAACTCTTAAATCAGCATTTTTTGTAGCGCACAAGATACATGTTCGCATTTCATTCATTAATTAATTGGCATGGTTCAGATTTTTTATTCTCTTTTTGTTTCTGGCATTTCTTAATTTTTAAATAAGAAATGACAGCTCAACCCACAGATCTATCCTGAAACATGTTTCACTGTGTGTTTTGGAGCAAGTACGTTTATATATCTCATTTTCAATTCAAAGCCATGCCATTTAAAAGATCTTTGTACACACTTCAGCATACAGAAGATTTTAATTTTGAATAGCTGCACAAATAAATCAAATGATGCAATTCGAAACTCTCTGCATGTGCCTTTTGCAAAGCCGTACCAGTAGAGATAAGTAAACTATAAACTTCAATTACAACAATTTTTATCTCACTAAGATGGGACAGGAAAATACACTACTGAAAACCACTCTGAAAACAGCTGAAACTTCAGCTGCACTGTCAAAAAAGCAATACAAAAAGCCAATACAGCAGATGAAGCAGAGCAAGGGGGAAAAAGGACGTTAATTACAACTTAATCAAAAACACGTTCTTGGTCTGAATGCCACCATTTTCAAACATCTGTCTAGACAGGAGATGAATGACTTTATCCAGTCTTAGAAATGTAGACTACATGCAGTACATCTTTGATTTAGCAGAGATGTGTCATACAGAAGCAACTACATTCACAGAAGACAAAGCTACAGACATACTTTGGATAAGAGGATCCAGACCTCCAGCAAGCTACATTCTCAAGCAATTAAGGAGAAGTCGTTTTCGTAAAGATTAATTCAGATGTTGGAAATCTGAATTTACAACACAGGAAATACAATTTTGTGTCTACAGCATAAACCAAAAAAAAGTAATAGAACAGGTCTTGCAGACTGAGCTAAGAAACTTAAGCTGTCCTCACTTTTTTTTGCTAGAACACAAACACTTGAAATACAGAGGGCTAAATAAAAAAGAAACAATAAAAAGTACACCACCAGCAAATGTCCATCAAATGTAGCTCATGCGACACAGACAAAAAAAAGGAGGTTGAAATTGAATTTTAAACCCACTTAAATTTTTGGCCCCTTTTTGGGGCTTGAATTTTTTCCAAGACTGACAATTTGAACGTTAGGATACTTTCTTATACAGACAAACTAAACGATACTTATGAAGTTTCTGGCCGAACGTTCACAATGTGTCAAGTGTCACTTGAGAAACGCTATTTGTGTTGCATTTTCAAAACAAGGATCTCATCAAGAAAAAGTTACAGGGTACTAATCTAAGCAAGACTGCAAGCTTAAAGTAAGAAACATTTTGTAAGAAAAATTTAAATTAAACATTAAATGCACTTCAGTCATCAATGACCAAGGTGAACAGCTGCTAACAAGTTCATTAGGCTCAAACGTTACACATGCACTCAAGTTTTTTTAAAGAATAATATTTTAAGGTGCATCAATCGCTTGACCAAAACATGAGAACTTGAATGCAGAACACCCACAAGCACAGACGCAGCACTTCAATTACAGCATGAGCCTGTATTCAGGCCCAGCGAGAGTGTGACAGAGCAGATACCTGTAGCGGTGCTTTCGGGAGCGGGACCTCGACCGGGTTCTGGTTCGGGACCTGGAAAAGGAGCGCGACGGGGATCTGGACCCTGATCCAGAACGGGATCTGGAGGGAGATTTTGACACCGGGACTTTCGACATCTCTGCCGGGAGGACTATCGCCTATGGATCTGCCTGTTGGTATAACAGAAAGGGAGGTTAATATTTAAAGCTTTATCAGATCTTCCACTTACAAACTTGCACAGCTGCAACACATATATATTCCAAAACAAACTAAAATAGCACAAAAAAGTCATATGACAACCCAGTAAGTAATGCTTTTTCACATCAAAAAAGCAAAGATGTCCGTGACGCAGAAATGTCTGGTTAAGATCATTAACACTCAAGGTACTTATTTTTCCATTCCAGAGGAGGCCAAGAACCCGCAAAGGGTTTAGATTTTCAAACTATATTTGCTTTTACTACACAGCAGAAACCTCAACCCTTTGGATTACATTTAAACTTTTAATTCCTCAAGAAGTCTTTTAGAAATTTGCACCTACAAATGAAGCAAAGTCTGGAAAAATAAAAAATGAGTCACACTGTTGTATACTATGGGTACTGTACACAAATTACTAACTGAAGATCTGGCAATATAACATGTTTACAGCAAATCATACTGAACTGATTAATGAATATTGAGGTGGGTCCTACATAGTCAGGAAAAGACAACACTTTTCACTCTGATGCTGCTCTTTCCCCCAAAGTCAACTGTATTGAGAGCAGTCAAACTTGTTAAAATTATAGAAAACTCTAAAACACATTACATTGATGATGCTTATAGCATAAATACTATTATCATACAATATTAGCATGAAGAATACTGACTAATATTAAATTTGCCCCTTTTTACAAAAATTCCTAAATGCTTGCATCATGTTGCAATAATATTCTTTATTTAGGGCCGATTTATCTCAAGATGACAGTTTGGGCTGTAATTTAAATTGATCTTAGTTTACTATTGTTTTCAACTAAAATGAGGAATGCAACTAAGGAAAAAATAAAAATGACTTGCCTGCAGGACAAAACACTCTGTATGGACAACAATAGGAATGACTTATGTCCAATTTAACAGACACAACCACTTTAAGGCATGACAACCAAGGACGTAATAATATTCCAACTCCATCTTTTAAACCTGTTCCAACTCTGTAAATGTAAAAAAGGAAACTGGAATCGGGGAATTGAAAAACTGGAACTGACCCCAACCCTGCTAGGATGATGACATCTCTCCAGAATTTCTGAAATGCGCAGAAGGTATTGAAAACACGCTCATTTTTCATTTGAAAAAAATTACTCAATGCAGTTCAAGTCTTGTCACAAAGATCACTTGCTGTCACAGATCAGAACCTTTAAAATTTAATTCTGTAATGGGAAAGTCACTTTGTAGGATTGTTCAAGTCGTAAACACAGTATTTCAAGGGACAAACATAATGTTTTCTCTGTGTGCAGCTTGACTGTTTCTCTTCCGGCCCAGCCTTCACACTGGTTCAGGCATGGCTTCAGCAACTGGCCGTCTTAAAGCAGCAAAGGATAAAAATAGATGTGCAACAAGTAAAAGAAACAAAATGCAGAAACGTCAGTATTACGCTATCCACTGTGGCTACCTTTACACACTAGACCATTTTTTGCTTGTGAAAAGCAACATGTTGCTTTAAAAGAAAAACATGTGAGAAAACAAATTTAAGAACAGCATGGATGAAATTAGCCTTTGGCCTTTTGTTTTATGTAAAAGTTAATAGTTTAGTTTTTACCTAAATAACTATAAACGTAAAAGTGTTTATGGGACATCAAGAACTGAAACATGTAAAAATCACAAAGTGATTTATAATCTTACAGGGGTATCACAAGCCCCTCGGGACTAAACCTTAGAAATTTGTATGCATTTGCATTCAAATCAGGCTCATTACCGACATTTGTGTTATATATATATATTCATTCATAACCATTAAAATATTCTCTATAGGTATTATAGTAAAGATTTTAAATATATTAAGTACTTGAACAAGTAGAGATTAATGTCATGCTGAAACGCAAAAAAAATGTTTTGGCTACATTGTATTCTTCAGATCATTGCATATACATTAAGTTTTTTTTTAAAACTATTCCACAGTCAATGATTTCTCTATACAGCACAGAAAAGTATGCGTGTATATAAGTAAGATACAGTGGATCTGGATTTTTGTGCATGTTGTGGAAGGTACACATCTGGAATTGTAGAGAAAAATAAATACACAAGTTCCCGTTCTATACAAGGTCATTTTTCAGAGATTAAGAAAAACATCTAGAAAGTCTCCAGCAAAGTCAAGTTTTATCCTTATCTGCTGTTCTGCACAATGTGTTAAACTGCATTTCATCATCTTACAGTAGATTCATTTAAAAAATGCTTGTAATTTTGCCTGCAGCTACGTCATTTGTGGGTTTCTGGTCATCTCCAACAGAACAACTTCCTGCAAAGTGACGCCTTAGAATTTCTGTAATCGTGTTACTTTTAGTCAGAATTTACAGCGTCAGATGAAAAGATTATGAAAATTCTGCAGAATTAACTCCCTTAATGGTGGATTGGCTATTTATTGATTGTACAATCTGAACTCCTTAATTTAAAAATATTAAAATACAAAGCTAACATGTTACTTATATAGCCCACACACACCATACCCGATTCCATACACTGTGTCATCCAAATAAATCAGATTTCATTTCAGGCAATCTAATGGGCTTTAAAGGGGGAAATTACAAGCAAACCTTAAAGCAGTTTGGAAGACGTCCTTAGTCTTTTCAGGGCATGATACACTTTGATCACTACATTACTCCTATTCTAGTTTTTCAGGATATTGCTATGGATCTTTTCTGCAGAGCCCCTGCCTTATTTTTCGGTGGTGTTGTTCTTGGCTCCCTAAGAACAATATTTGTGGCTGCTGACAGACTCTCCATTTCCCTTACTGTGCACATTTTAAGGGAAGCTTCTGTACCACTTAATACCCACAACGGAAAACAATATGATAAACAGCCAGCAGTTAAGAATTCTGTAAATCAAGCAATTCATTAAAATATTCACTAAATTCTCCCTCTGTAAATCAAGCAGCTCATTAAAACATTCACTAAACTCTTCCTAGACTGAAAATTAGAAAAAGAAAGATACTTTCTCCTCCATATATGTAGTGCATAGTGTTTCCTCCTTTTTAGCAGTTCATTCTAAATTCAAGAAGAAACTCTTTCATTCAGAAAACCAAGTTCTCACTGGACAGTAAAGAATAGATTAAGAAAGTTAATGAAACCGTTAAGACCATATGAACACCTTTGCTAGAATAACTATTTCCATAAGAGGTGCTAAGTCTACATTTTATTATACATGACAGAATTATCTTGCCGAGGTATGCGTGGTATCAGCAGAAATAGTCTTAATGTAACAGAAGTAATAAGAGCGACCTATGCAGATATCAAAGAAGGGAAGGGAGGGTGTTGGTGATGGTGGGATTGATTTCAGAGTGAAGTACTTTAAATGATAATTAAGAGCAGCTGTCGCTGTTTGTGGAGGGGGGGGCTTTATGTGTATAGAATGGCCATATCACTTGGATTTTACATCTAAAAAAGAGTGTGGCAAATACTCGACATGATCACCTCCTGCAATCCAAGCCCGTCCCTGGAAAGAGGCAGCTGTTGCTTAGCCCCTCACCTGTTGATTTCATTTAGGGTGAAAGTGCCTGGGAACAATGGAAGTGTAATGTGATACTGCTCTCACTCTACAAATCATGCAGTCCACAAATGCCTAAGCAACAAACTTTAGATTTGCCTTCTGGGCAACTAGAAAATATCCAATATAAAAATGACAACTCCACTAACTGTACCAAATGTGTTTCACCACCATCTAAAACATGGAAGGCGTTTCACTGAGATTCTAACAGTGGAGTTTATGCATCAATGGGTAATTTGAAACTGGTGCACTGCCCTTGTCTCAGTTCTTGTGCTCTTGGGTTTCAATATATTTTTTAGTAATTTGATTCCTTATGACACATAAATAATACCATAATACATTCACTATGGATGATTTATTATATATAATTTATAAGATAACTAAAGTCAAAACCAGCTATACAGACTAGAATAAAGAGCTGTAATAAAAACAAAAGGGAATCTTAATTTGATTTGTCCTCCTCTTTTGCTTCACTAGCTGTTACAATCTTCAGGAGAACACAAACTGCATCATACACTGACTTAATCCACTACAGTCTTTCCACTCAGCACATATTTAGGGCAAAGAAAAATGTAAATGTGTTTGGAATGGTGAGTCAATGCAGTCTCCAAGTGAATACTTCTTAAGTCATTTAAAGTTAAGAGGCATTTGTATTTTATGTCTGGTGGGGGGTGGTGTGTTAATGCCACTACAAAAATCTTTTAAATCAAACTGGTTTTCCACATTCATCTACTGCCTTTTCATTATCGTCATAGGCCCTGGCTCACTGCACTCAACCAAGCTTTGGTAGAAGAAAATGTGACTTAATAAGGGAAGCCAAAAGTAAATTTCTAAATTGCAGGTTTTAGATTTCAAACTTTTGTTAAGGGAAGATCACCGTAATGACCCTCAAGTTTGTGTTTTTTTTTCCTCCTAAAGAAGGGGAGGGGACTTCACTTGCAAACAGTGCCAGAACTAGCTGCTCTCGAACTCCCCATTGCTAAAAGTTACAGAACTCTAATAATGTTTTGATAATTCAGTATTGCAGGACAACAGGTTCTTGACAAACAAGGTCATGTTATTATTATTTTTATGAGTATTTGGATCTCTCTCATTGAGCAAAACGTTTCCGAAATTTCTGGAGGAACCCCAGGATTGTTGCTGAGGAATACCCAATTACTATTTTGACTAACATTTTGTATCCATCCATGGTTTAATGGAAAGCTGTACAAAAAGAGGTTGCTTCCATATACAAGATTCACTACTTCGATAATGCATCATGCCTCACATCATTCCTGAGCAACATACTCCAATCCATAAGTTCCTTTCAATAATTCATTTTTGGCACAGCCAGTTTGACAGCGGTCTATAAAGGAAAATGAATAACTACCTAAAACTGTGCCAGAAACATTCATATTTAAGATTACATCATTTAGGATTATGGTTGATTGGGAAAAAAGCCTTAGAATAACTGGGCAGGCAATTTAAAGTCTATAATTCAGTTATTTTAAAGCTACTTGAAATTCTGACACTGGTCTTAAGTAACATTCTTAAAATATAACCCTAAAACCTTCTTGACTTACACCATACATGAGAAATAAAAAATGTTCTTTAGTTACTTTCAACAGCTGAATTAAACATTTCTGTCTCAGTCTATTTTAACTAAATGTACAGTATTGAGAACTATAAGTTGCCTCCCTCCCTTGTGCACCCAATGACAAAACTGAGACATCATAAACATGCCAAGCAAGGTAGGGCATGAATAAATACCAAATAGGACCACCAAAGCCTATAGATGTCTATGAAAAGTTAGAAAGAATGGGATGTCAGTGGTTAAAGAGTGAAATCAATTACCCAGATGTTAGGAGATTTACACTCTAAACTGTTTTTTTAATTGGGTTTAAGGCCTCAAATCTCTAGTACATCAGACCTTCCTTTCAGTACTTTTAACTCCTGCTGTTACAGGACATTCCAACAAGACAGAAAACCAGGGCTTTTTTCCTAGATGCCAAAAAACAGGGGATCACTAAAGAGCCAGGTTTCACATTCCCATGTGCTGCACAGACAAAACGTAAATAAAGGAAAGTTATTCTTGGATTTAAGATAAATTTCCTGGCATTTCTTATTGAAAAACGGATACTTAACCAAAAACAAACCAGTTTAAAACTAAGAATGTTTATACAATAGGTATATGGTCTTCTCCCAGAATTACGTTCAAATTTAACTTGACAAGGCATGGCTGATGCTTGTGTTGATATCTCATTTAAAAATCCAGTCCTAGATTTCCACAGCCTTGTGTAGCAAAATGTAGCGTTCAGCCATCCTGGGAGTTTGCCTTGTGCTCTATGCATGTATTAAAATTGTACTGGCTTCAGCAAAGATACTGAAGGCCCTTGGTTTCTCTCCTTCTCAATGAACTTTGCTTACACAGCTGTGAACTTGCTTATACTTGACATAGTCACGTCACGCACTGTGAAAGAAAAAGTCTATGCACCCTATACATAAAGGCTACTGTTTTAGAGAAAAACTGAAAATGCGTAAAGTGAAGGGAGTACATGCTTTATGTCTTTGAAATCAACAGCATGATCTGTAGGTCTGTAAATGTTACTGATTTTAAGCAGATAAACCAACAAACTACAGCATGGCAAAAAAAAAAACACTGCATCAACCACAACTTCCTTGTTATAAGGAGGGGCTAAGGACCTTGCAGAATGAACTACTAGATTTAATCCCTTTCACCAGCACAGGACCCCACAGATCAGGAAAATCAGAAGCATTCAAAGTAAGATTCTTTCAGGCTACAGATTAAATTCATGTTATGTTTCTGAACACCAACATTCTGTTTGTGCTACATCCAAAACAGGAATGATGAGTGCGAGGCCTTTTTAAACTTGAATTTTGGATTTCACGTTTTTGATGAGTGAACGAGTGAATTTAAAACTGTTCCGAGTAGGAGTAGCCATCCATGGCAGCTCAGTTTAATTTTAGAAGGCCGTCTCAGAAGTAATAACTAATGGCAAAGGATGTACTGTGTAACTGGCATGTCCACATGAAGAATTTACTAGTCAGGGTAACAGAAAAGGCATTCTGCTCGTAACATACAAAGGTAGTATGTTAAGGAGGAAATTTTGCTTACTACGTACCTTTTTCTAGAGCTATCACTATTATTATGCAACCTTGAGAGATAATGTAGAAAACAAAGACCATGGGAATCAATGCAGAAACTCAAGGCCCCTTCTTGGGCCTTCCTTCTGCTGCAATGCACATTAACCTGACAATCATGTGAATACAATCAGTAAACAGTCCAAACCATTGTGAATGTCCAGTGCTAAAAGACACTCAGCCAACACTACCATCAGTCTTTTCTCTCCATTTTAAGGGATGTGGGCTGATAAAATAACCCAAGGCTATTCCTGAATTTTGACCACACTGCAAAACACAGCCTAGAGAGCTACAGAAAATGGAGAAACAGAAATCTCGAAGTGTTTCTCCAAACAAAATGTTTTCTAGACTAGAATTGAAAAGGGCTATGCATGTTCTTATTGCTAAGACTTTTGTATAGAGCAACCCTGCCACCGATTTGGGTAAATCCCTTTTAAAGGAAAATACACACAAAAAGGGACTTCTAAATTACCTATTTGTTGTTTTTAATTATACATATGAAAAAATGATGGTTTAAATGGTAGATGTAGGATCCCTGTCTATGTAACAAGGAAATGAAAAATATGCAGCATACAAATTAGAATTTGCATAACCAGTGTTCATCACGTGCTATACACGTGAAAAGGGGAGTACTGTTAAGTGACTGAACATGGTTACAATAGAGTATAAAAATATAAGACGTTTTCTTATCAAAAAAGGGAATATTAAGACTGCTGTAGTTTGTTACTAGGGCTCAGCAAAACCTCTTCTCCAATCTTTCCATCTCGATTGGCTCAAATGCAACTGAATCCCACCCTCCTCGACACACACTCATTCCCAACATCTTTTCATTGATTTACTGTATCATTTTGGCTATTTATATTTGTTGAGTTACAAATAAATATGACACCAGTGTATAATCGGTTATTTTTAGTTTTCGTTGCCGAAAGAGACTCGCCTGCCCCCTACATATGTTGTATCGGCAATAACGCCATTGTAAACTACCATTTCAACCCCTGTTAGATGCAATACCTAATGACAAAGTACGCACCATGTGACTGGTATGTCGGTATGGAAAATTTACTAGTCAGAGCCTTAACAGAAAATGCATTACTTAACTTACACAGGTAGTACGTTTAGGAGGAAAATATACTTAATTTGTAACGGTTTCAAGAGCTATCACCATTAATGCGCAACCCTGGGAGATCATGAAGAAAATAAGACGAGGGGGAAGGGGTACGTGAAATCCAGGCTTCTTCTTGGGCCTTCCTTCTGCGGCCCTGGAAGTCAACCTGATTATCGTGTGAATAACATCAGCAAACGGTCCAAACGATCGCGAATACCCAATGCAATAATATAAATGCGCATTACGTCAATACAAAAATAAAACACGTCCACGTAACCGCAGTATCTTTGCTTACGTTTTTAGTTAAAAAAGCGGTTAGAAACCCGCCAGATCCAAAGCCTAAGAATGTTAACAATCTTACGTACACCAAATGGTTAAAACATGCCTTTCAGATAAAAGAAAAATACCAAGTATGTGCGACACGTACTCTATTATATGCTGGTAAACACGACGCGGAAGCATGCAGTACGAAAATAAATGCACAAAATGAGATAAAACGTGGGAGAAAAGACCAGCTTACCTCAGTTTCGTTTTGCAATGTGCTTCTTGGAAACCAGCTTGCAATCGTGCTACAGCACAACTACCAAACGTATTTTGCTTTCCAATCTACCATTCGTTAGACCCTCTCCTCTCTTCTTACCTGTTGAAAGATACGAATTATGTATGTTTACAATACTGCCTACTTGTTCGTTATCACTTTAGAAACCTGACACCACGCGGAGCCAAAAAAAAAAATGAGGACGAACTTCAGGGTTTGTTAAAAACCTGGTAAACGCCTGGCCGTGTGCAAATGGCAACACTCCATTACAGCACAAGAGGTCAAATTTCCTTCCTGGTTTTCCCTGTCAAACAAGTTTCACGACGACACCTCCTTCCCGCCTCCATTTGCTTTAAAGAAATAGGAAAACGCAACAAATCTCCAAAACCGCGGTCTAATAATACCGTTTTACGACCCACATTAAACGCACGGACGCTCAAACGCCATGTGTATCGTTTTATTTTTATTATTAATCCCTTTAGCCGCAGCGTCGCGTAGATTTACCTAAGTGCTCAGGCCCAGAGCTGCGTCGTCATGGAAATGCTGAGCGGAAATGAAGGGGGAGCGAAGATGTCTGCCGAGAGAGTTGTACTCAGAGGCATAGTAGATTGCCACTGTTTTTTTTTATGTTTAAACTGTAATGAGGTCAGTCCGAGCAAAGTCTAAACTAAACTACAATGTTTGTGGTTGGCTGTCAGTCTGGCTCCCAGCCGTGGATTAGAATAAATAACTAAATGGGATTTTGATGTTTATTTTGTTCAGACGTTGAATTTGAGCAACTTATAAAAACACACCTTCCAAAATGTTATTTATTTGGAAAAGTTTACCTGTTGTGACTCCATTGAAGGACGTAAAAGAGCACTACCGAATGCACCCAGTATTAAAAGTGAAATGTTTACATTTATGGCCATCCAAAGAAATGTGTTAGTTTAAATTGGCACACACATGGTAGCAACTGTTCGGACAACATGTCATTAATGTTGTTCGTGTGCTCTCCATAAAAAGGAAATATATTAGAATCTGCATATAATTAAAACTATAATTAAAAAAAACTTAAGATAACAATTTCATTCCATGATAATTACATGTGAAGTAGCATTTCTGTTTGTGTTGATGGGGAGATTGCTTACAAATATAATATATTCACAATGTTTAAATATTTTTGTACATTAAAGATTTTTACTGACCATTAATAAAAAAACAGATTTGGATATTTTTTTCTGTGATTTGTACATTTAGCTCTGAATGACATACCATAGTAGTTGTATTTAATATGTGACGTGTTTTCTTAACTGTGACTGTGCACTCTATGTCAGATGCATAATTTGGGAATCACTGGGGTACCCAGAATATTCTTGGACTATATGAAGGCAATTAACACAACAGCAGACATACTGGTACAACTAAAAGGGCTTTAACTGCTGTCGCTGACAAAAGGTTACATCTCCAAGGCAAATATTTGCTTTTCTGTTTCTGTAAATGAGATTCTTCCTGACTACGTGTAGAAAATGGGCAAAGTACAATGAAATTAAAATGTCAGATGCCTTTTACTGTCTGTTCCTGGCACACACTTGCAACTTACTCCTAACATGGAGTCAGACCAAAATAATGCACAGCTCAATGACCACTACAATCCAGGTAGAGCTCTAAAAAGGAAAAAAAAATGTTTTAGCAGGGAAGATACTGCATTATTGGGTTTTAAAAAAAACAACTAATTTAAGCTTGTAAGTATATACAATTCAACACACAAACACCGAAGCATCTGTTCAAAGAGGTAGAGACTTGTCTTCTTATGGTTTCTGTGGTTTAGCAGTATACACGATGTACAAATATTTCTGTATAAAACGTTCTGTCAAGCAGAAATCATCTAATTGAACAGGCTATGTCCTGCACGCTGTGAACACATGAAATAATAATCTGATTCACAGACAAAAAATCAATAAACAGACTGATTAAGTTGAGCACAAAGGTTATTCTTGTTAAATGGATTTAACCCGTGCTTCTAGTGGAGGGGGTAGAAAAATGGGTTGATTTTATCTGACACCAACTTTGAGAATAATTTCTTACTTATTTCACAGGTGGGTGCATTCGCAGATTTTCTGGAAAACTGCACAACTACAAACAGGAAGTGGTTTGTTTCAGTTTGTCTATACAGGTCCTGCTGACATTTATTTTTTTTCCACAGGTGAAACTAGCATCTGCCTGCACTGCTAAATAATGTAATGAAACCAGTAGCAGGTTCGGTGTTATTTGATTCAGTGACCGAGAATGAAACATTTAAGATTTTTATTCTCATTTTACTTAACAGGCCTGTGTGTTCTGCAGTGGAGGAAAGAGTAACTACAACCTGCATGTGTCTGTCAAAGCACCAAAACGCACATCTTATGAGCACAAACTCAGTATTGTACTTTGTCCTTTAAACTTGGCATTTTCGCCCTTGTTATGCAACATTTTCCTCCACTTGATGAAGGCTGGGTATTTCCACTAAAAAGCTAGAACAGAAAACTAAGGCAATGCCAACAGCAGGGTCCAGAATTAGTGGGCATGTGGACTAAACTGCCCCCTTATGCACGACACTGTCCAGGAACATGTAGAGGCTTTTTGAGAAACTGCGTGAGAGTGGCTGCACTGAAAAATACCAGGCATGCTTTCTTTCGGTGCTCTGGGGGCGACTGTGCTGCCTCTGGTCACAGGGTAGTGACAATCAGTTACAAATACTGCGTGCCTCCACAAGTCTAACACACACACAGCACTCCATTGCATGCTTAATAACAGTCCTGCGTGGGCTGTAATGCAAAGGAGATCCAGAACTTCCTCTTTCTTCTGTATTGTTCTTATTGTTCTTCCTAAACAAATATTGCGACACATGTAGCCACATCCCTCACAATAAAAGCAGACTGAAAAAGAATGGATGGAAATGATGTATACAATAAGTTTTTTGCATCAAGAGTTTAACCCAATAGCTAATTACAAACTGCAGACTCTGGTCTTCATGATAGGCTTCTATTGGATAGAAGCAGGAGGCTCCTGCCAAGAGCGCTACAGAGAATTTGTGATTTGCCACTGGCAGATAGGTTAAAGCTTTAATTTCATGCAGGCCCAGAGTTACTGCAACTACAAGAGCTCATACAACAGGATTCACTTAGACTTGTCTGGCAAGGTATCCACAGCTTCTGCAGCCTGTGCTGCTGGGAGACACCCAGGGTCATGACATCAGGAAAAAAAACAATTCCTGTCTAGAAAGTCCTCAAGCCAAAGTGGAACATTTCCTTTGAAGAAGCTTAAAGGAGATGATGAATGTTTGTTGGTTTTTTTTTTAAAAAAAAGGGTCTTTCCAGAAGTCATCAATAAGGTTTTGTGTGAGTTGTAGACATGTGATTCAAACTTTAAATACCCATCTACAAACATCTGCACAATCTCCCCGTATCCTCCACCTGCTGACGTGCAGTGTTAGAACGAATTTGTCTGTGTTTGCATAGCTAATACAGACGATCTATCAAACCGATTCACATGATAGTGCTAATGAAACCACCTCCTACCGGATACTGTACCTTGCTGTAGTATAGTTTCTGCCAGATTTATTTTAGCTTCCCTAGAATCAGGACTCTTTCAGCATCTGTTAATAGTTACTGTCTGTTCCCCTCCATCTTATATAGTTATAGGCAGCCATCTCCTTTGAGGTGTGCAATGCGTTGTTACTTATTTCCAGGGCAATCTGCAGTTTCAAACGTCACTGGTAAATAATTCCCACAGAGTTTCTCCCTTTCCTCTCTGAGATGCACCTTGGTTCTCAAAATATGCTCTCTCACCCCTTGACAAAACTGTACAAGTAGGGCAGTTCTTTAACCCTGAGACACAGTACACAGTACACTAAAACACTGAAAACGCCTATAGTACAATCAGCCAAATGTACAAATGGACCAATGGATGGAATGTTTAAAAAGGCTAAGTATCAACTAAGAAAAATACCGTATCTAAATGTCAGTCAGAAAACCAAAGCTATTTTTCTTCACCACAACATAAAAATGTCTGTTTGGGAATTTGACATCCTATCTTGTAATGCACACAGATGTTTTACTTTTGCCTTGAAAGTAACTTTAAAAATAAAGTGATTCACCAAAGTTCCATCTTTTCATTTTTTCAGAACCATAAAAAATATTATATTTACTGTGTGTTTAAAAGAATACTCATCTAAAATATATTATTCACCTGCCCAGTACCACCCAAAATACTAAAACTTTTAATCTTTTACATTTTATTTTACTGTTTTTTATTTTTTATTAAAATAATATTTATTTTTTCTCTCTTTAATTCAGTTGACGTTTTGTGTTCTCAAAGGCTTGATGACAGGGATGCTGAAAAAGGTTGAAGACCTTTTGAGATCTGGCAGAGAAAACCAATAAATTCCTCTTTGTATATTTATTAACTTTTTCCCCAGATAAGTGATAAAGAAGAACAAAAAAAATGTTGTAAGCAGCACAGTGGTTAAGGCAGTTTGGCTGGGTATCGTGCCAGTGCTGTGAGGAATGACTTTCAGATAAATACAGTATAACCATCATAGCTGTTAATCATTAGAATTACATTGAAAACATAAAAAAGTTTAAGTTTAATTGCAGACCAGACCAATACAGGTTACATAAAAAAGTTAGTTTACCTATTTAAACTAAAATGGGAAAACTGCATACTGAGACAATATGACAAGAGACAAGAGACAGAGAGGCAATTGGTGTACATTCAAACAAGACTAGGGGGACTGCACTCTGAAAGACAAAGTCTTCTCAGACCCTTCGCATCTTCACACAGCTATGTACTCTATTCTTTCACTTGTCAGCCATTATGGCCACAAATAGTGCTTATATTATGACCCTTCTGGTATCCCTCATATCCTCATTTGTGTGTGTGGTAAATTCCTCTGATTCCTACTGCACTTTCCTCGTGACGAAACAAATATCTGGAAAGGTTGAATAACTTTAAAAATACCCTGTATCTAAATGTCACATGGATAAAGGCTGGCACAGCACAGGTGTTCTTCCCAAACATTATTTTGTTGTTGTGGATATGACTGCAGTTTGACTGGATCCCTGAGATGAATAAAGAAAGAAAAAATACATATTATTTTAATTAAAAAAAAACGTTTTAAAAAAACCAGTAAAATAACATGTAAAAGATTAAAAAAAATAAAATTAAGGGTGGTACTGGGCATGTGAATATCACCCTGAGATTATATTAGGCGACAACCAGCAACAATTAAGCTGCACCACCAGGGTGTGGCTGCAGCCTGTAGCCTGGATAATTTCAGGAATTTTGGATCATTCCCACATGTGCTAGATGGCCTCTTCTCAATTGCAAGCTTTATGAAAGTCTCGGTTTTCCAAAGTCAGGTGTGGGCCTCCATGAACAATGCAGAAAAAGTCAGAGAGTTCCCACACCTGTGGGTTTCAGAAAGGGAGGTGGTGTGAAACTAGCTGTGGAGCAGGAGCGAGAGGGACATTGTATTGTTTCACTCTCAGCTTAACCAGCAGGAATGATGACCCAGATACAGGCGGTTATTTTGGATCAGGTATCCCAGGATATTTTCACAGTCTCTGTCCTCAGTTAAAAGAAGA